GATGGCCTTCAGCTGAGCAGGAGTTCTGGTCCGGGACCTCACCGGCAGGATGCTCCCATTTCTAATGGTGAGCTTCGGAGCTCTTAGATAGGTACTTCCAACTCTTAAATCCCATCAGGTCCTATGGAATGGGCAAAAAACCCAGGTTGGGAACAAGACCTCAGACCTTTCTTTTCTTTGTTCCCCGTCCGCTTTCCACAGAACAGTGGAAAGTGTGAAAGGAACCACATGTACCAGTGTCCTGAGGCAGAACCTCGGTATATAAGGTGCTGTGTAGTCTGCTAGACCAGCAGACCAATACGCTCTAGTGCTGTGCAAAGACATATAAAGATGCTGTATTGACTTGCTTGTTCGTTGACCTTGACACCACATTAATGAGAGGAATCTGGGAAGACACCAGTTGATTTGACATCACTTCCTTTCAGTATTTATTATAAATGATACCAACTTGGTATTTAGTCTGATGATAAGAGAATGAGTGTCTGTCTGCTGATCTTTAATGACACTGCAGGCTGACTGTAGGTCAGGATGTTGGTTTCAGGGCCTGTTCAGGGATTTCCCCTGAGCTGTTGCTGTTGTATAACAATAACTGTGGTGTTGATGTCAGGTACAAAAAAAAAAAAATATGATGTCTCTGATGTCTAAAGATCATCTTAACTTCAGACTCATGAGATGTTATCAGCAGGAGACGCTTTGGTCTCAATAACCTCAGAGTGTAAAGACTCTGTAATCCTCCTGAACCTGACCTGCTGCCAGTCTAACACCTACAGATTGAACTTGATCACTGCTGTGTGAAATGAATAGACCTGTTATTGATCAGGTATATTAATGAGTGTGTGATAAATGTCAAGTTTGTGTTTACCACTCTCATCCCTCACAGAGTGGGTCAAATGTAAACTCACAGAGACAGAGGTAAAGTAAGGTAACTGTGGCTAAGGACGGAGGGGGGATGTCCATGGACCACATGGTTCTTTGTTTTGACCCAGATCCTCAATATGGTTGGTAGGACACTTTCACTACCAGATCTATTGTACACATTTTCCCAGTCTATTGTTTAATAACTGCATTAATGTGGTCCAAACAGGGGGAATACAACAAGACTTTATTTTGTCACTCTGACTCAGCTGTTTGTGGAAATCCTGTTCTGTCTTCTACTTCCTTTGTCACTGTGCTGCACTCTGTTGTTTCATAACTTCATCTTTCTGTTATTTCATAGGTCGGTTTCTTGGGGAATGGATCTGGAAGTTTCAAGTAGACCATATCTCTTTGTGGCATTACACTCAGGATGGTAAACTTGTATATTCTTGTAAAATATTATCAAAATGTTTCAGATTGTAAATTTATATAAAATTCCATGATCAGACCAAGTTGAGTCATTTCACAGCTGTTGATTGATGGTGAGCCATGAAAACAAAAGACAGCAAGAATGGCACCACATTTTTACAGTAGAGTATATCCTGACCATATCCTGAATCCCCAAAAAGAGGACACTATTACGCGGGGCGGAGTCAAACGCAAAATTTTGAAGGTTTTTTGGGTCGGGTTGAGTGTTTTTTACACCCTTCTAACTCAGTAAGTCCATGCTACACAAATTCTAAACTTCCATACAAAACCCCGGACATTTGAAGGATTTTATAAACTCCCCCGGACAGGGCGCACAAGGCTGTACAGCTCCCCCAAAAAGAGGACATGTTCAGGTGAAAGAGGACGTATGGTCACCCTATTTTATAGTATCTCCCTGAACAATACTATTACTTTCCTGTATTTTCCAGTAACGTTCTTAACAGTATTGTCGTGTGTTGTCAAAGATACTACTTCTTGACAAAGTTTTCTTGTTTTTTTACAGTTCCATGTCATTATATTTCAATTTTTCTTACAGTTCAAAAACTGTGAAAACTGTTATTTGAAGTATTTAGTCTTTGATCCACAACAGTCTTGCTCTTTCTTTGAATAAAAGCATCTACTGTATGACACTGTAACATTAGTCAGTCTGAAAGTTTGGAAATGAAGACTTTCTGAATCTGCTGTGATTGTATCTAAACATTCACAATATTTGGTTTAGTATGGTTAGAAATAAATTTTTGTTCGGTGAATTTGACCATTTTATTCCTTTATTCTTTATTTGTTTGTCAAATTGTTCTAAAACTTTTCACACCATACTAAACTGAAGTCTTTTATTTCATTGAATGATCTGCATCACTGCTCACTCAGCAGAGTCCGCAAATGTTTCGGTGACATTTACAATGAACGTTTGACTTTTCAGAAATCTTTCATCAATAATACAACTATTAATAGATCACAGAGCAGTATGAGAGCAGTGCATTACAGACAAACACACACAGGCACTCACAAACACACAAAAACACACAACATGGAAACTAGATTCCACCGAGTGCCCGATGTTTTCAGTTTTCTGTCTGTCAACTTTCTCCGCCCACGGAGGGACAGTCCACGACTCTCTCTGCCTCTGTGCGCGTGTGTGCGTGTGTGAGAGAGAGAGAGAGAGAGAGAGAGAGAGAGAGAGAGAGAGAGAGAGAGAGAGAGAGAGAGAGAGAGAGAGAGAGTTCCCCCAGAGGCCACAGGAGGGCGCACATCTCTGCTGAGATGTTAAAGATTTCTTATAGGTCATTTAATCTGAGGACCTTAATGGCAAAACAAGACTCTACCAGCATCATGGTTTTACTTTTATAAAACATTCAGAAGTATGAATCTTTGTAAATCTGTATTTAAGTAAATTTACATTGTTTTGAAATGTTTATTTCATGATGGAAGCCTCAAAGTTGCGAAACTGAAACATGCTGTGAAACTTTTCAGCTGTAAGAATATTATGAACACAGGAAGCCATGGTCCTTAATTTACACCAATAGATTTTCACTTTGTACAACCCCATCATACACTTAAACTGTTTATATTTTTTCTTTACAGACTTGTTTTTTTCTTCAAAATTGTACCATGGTCACCCTTATGAATCAACAGACTCCCACCAACGATATCTAACAACAGCATTTTAAAGCTCTGCTTTAATCATGGTACTTTAAAGCTCCAGTGAGAAGTTTTTTGATGTGTATGAGATAGACTGAAATTCATAATTTTGCCTTTTGATGACAGCATCTGGCATCTTTGTTTCATGATTGAGGTGTGTTAGTGTAAACTTCACCATTCAAGGCCGACTGTATAGGTGTGTGGTTCTGGGGACTTTATGAGTTGTTTCAATTTCACAGTTATGTGTTTGTACATGAAGACTCATATGTGTGTACACTGGTATGTATGACATATACTAGGACTGTCACAGTATCAAATTTTCATCTCATGACTATCATGGCCATGAAATATTGCCAAAACAATGTTAGTGTGATATCTAAGAAAATTCAACAACACATATCTTCAAACTGGGGAAATACAAGGCAATGGTGGAGCTACACAATACCTCATAAAAATGGATAAAATGCACTCGCCTGCGACACCATTATTATTTTCTAATTATGTTCAAATGTATGATTTATCATCAGCCCATGCTTTTCTATTTATGTTTTTCTGTTTAGTGTTTTGTCTTTATATCCCATGTTGTAAAATTATGCTTGCATTCTGAACTGTATTACTACTGGTAGAGTTACATTGGAAGAAAAGTATGAATGTTCACTTGAACTCAACCTGAAGAAGCACAAACTCTGACACTGTTGGAGAAGATGGAATAATTCTTGAACATCAGTTTTAAAAGTACCAAATCATTTTTCCATGGGCTGCTACAGCTAGCTCACCAGCATTCTGCTACTTATTTATGGTCAATCCTTAATTTAAAGATGTGTAGCAACCAGAGTAAAGAACCACTATGAGACTATGAGACACAATGCTATGAGAAGTCTTTTCCATATGCTTATTTCTGAATATTTTGTTCACATTAAAAATATAAATATATTATAAACTAATAACTTTTGGTCATTTTAGCATTATGGTATCATGTAAGAGATGTGTTGGTGTAACTTTCACCATTATCGATCAACTGTAAATGTGTGGGCCTGGGTATTTTTATGAATGACTTCCTGTTTATGGGTTGTTTCATTTTCACATTTATGTATTTGTGCACATGTGAAGGTTCTGGTAGGTATTATATGTGGTAAAATTTTGGTATTTTCCCCACTTTTTTCTCTCTCACGTTGATTGAACTAAGTTGTATTGTTTCTTTTGATCAAAATACATGCAGAATTTGACAAAAAAAAAGTTGTAAAATGTATAATATTTGAGTGTTCCATCCGAAACACTGATAAAAATATCAAACGTCTGGGTATTCAAATCGACCCCCACCAAACACGCACAGACATACACAAACACACACACCCCCGCCTCTGTAAATAGCAGATTTTCCTCTCAGTAACTTTAAATATCTCTGAGCGTCTATATTTGACTCCTCAGTGAATCTTTCCTCGAGCATATTCAAATGAGACAACTTTCCGAGCGCGTGCAGGAGTAAATTCCGCTCCTCTGTCCGCGCGCTCTCATTTGATTGCGGCTTTCTCTCTCTGTCGTTCTCGCTCCGTTCGGCAACTCTCGTCACTTTTCCGATGAGTCCATTCCGGACACCAAATATGGAGATAGGGGACGTTCCCCTCTTACCGGAATCAACCTTTTATGGGTCACAAAGAAGAACCGGAATTCCTCTTTTGATATTAGAGCGAGATTAAAAATAAATAACAGATAGGAAACGTGAAGAAAATACATAATACATGTTAACAAGTCACTTTTTTGTGTTTTTATGGTGTTTGAAAAAGTGTTGTCATGTTTTGTTTCAGTGTGTCTCGCGCAGCTGGGAGTGGAAACAGTCTGTGTTTTCTCCATTCACAAGTGATTCCCTTTCGAATCGTCATGGACCCTCAAGCCAATCAGCGTCCTCAGCGCCTCTCTCCCCTTCTACTCGCGCCACTCCTCCCACTCCTTATATGGACAATGACGTATGGTCGCATTCAAAAGATTCCCCTTATATACAAACCGGAGCCCGGGCCCCCGTCCCTCTGAAGTTTATCAGCAGAGCCGACACAACTTCACACACATACATAGTCTTAGAGACATGCAGGGGTGACACACACCGTGGGGGTCACACACTGCAGGTCACACATTTTCTTACCTGTCTCAGTTCAGAGGTTAAAGATCCCAAAGACGCTCATTCCTCCATCATGACGGCCAAGACTCTGGAGAAGGTGCCGGTGAATCTCGGGGGGTTCGTGCACCCTGACAGCGTGTACTCGGTGGATGATATCAGCTCCAGCCTGCCGACTTCTGTGGCCATCTTCCCCAACAGCGATCTGGGAGCGCACTACGACCAGATCAATGTGGCAGGTAAGAGAAAAAACAGAAAAATACTACTTAATTTTTTTAATATAATAGAGCGTTAAATGACAAAGAGTGGTTGATTACTCTGTGAAGACTTGCTATATCGTGGAACTTGGAATCAATACATTTTCAAAGACATTTAAAATGATAAAAACAGGAAAAAGATAATTGAAATCTTAATCTTCTTCTAGAAAGAGTTATATATTTCATCTCTCGTGTCAAAATGTTCTTGTGGGACTATTTCAGTCCGTGCGTAATTGCGCGTAATCTCCCCTCCTTACTCCATAAACGCACTCTTCACATTATCCTCTCTGATTTATTTTGTCTTCTGTTGTAATAATCTGTTTTGTTTTTGTTCCTCTCTCCGCAGACAGCCTGATGAGCGCAGACATGAGCGTAGAGAAGCGCTCCCTGGACCTCTCCTCTTACCCCGGCGGCTTCTCTCAGCCTGCGACCCACCGTAACCAGACCTTCACCTACATGGGCAAGTTCTCCATCGACTCCCAGTACCCCGGAAACTGGAACCCCGAGGGAGTCATCAACATCGTGTCGGGCATCTTCAACGTGGCCCAGCCGCCTCCTCCTCCTCCTCCTCCCTCCTCCTCAGCGTCCTCCTCACCGGCATCCTCAGGATCTCCTCATCACTTCTCCAGCGGAAATCTGAGCTGCACCATGGCGGCTCAGACCCCGGCTGAGTTAGACCACCACCACCACCTGTATTCCCCTCCGCCTCCCTACTCCACCTCCGGCTGCGGGGAGGTGTACCAGGACCCCTCCGCCTTTCTATCCACCTCCTCCTGTCCCATCGCCTCCTACCCTCCTCCCTCCTACTCCTCCCCCAAGCAGCCCGGCGGCTCGGACGCGCCCGGGCTCTTCCCCATCATCCCGGACTACGGCTTCTTCCAACCGGCCTGCCAGAGGGACATGCACCCGACCGGGATCCAGGACCGCAAACCCTTTGGTCCGTGTCCGCTCGATTCCTTCCGTGTCCCCCCACCCTTGACCCCACTGAACACTATCAGGAACTATACACTGGGGGGTCCCGGTCCTTGTGGCACAGAAGGGGGGGCGCCGAGGCTACCTTCAGCCTACAGCCCACAGAACCTGCCTCTGAGGCCCATCCTGCGACCAAGAAAGTACCCAAACAGACCAAGCAAGACGCCCATCCACGAGCGGCCATACCCGTGCCCCGCGGAGGGCTGCGACCGCCGCTTCTCGCGCTCTGACGAACTCACGAGACACATCCGGATCCACACCGGACACAAGCCTTTCCAGTGCCGGATCTGTATGCGCAACTTCAGCCGAAGCGACCACCTCACCACGCACATCCGCACGCACACCGGAGAGAAGCCTTTCGCGTGTGACTTCTGCGGCCGAAAGTTCGCGCGCAGTGACGAGCGGAAGCGACACACGAAGATCCACCTGCGGCAGAAAGAGAGGAAGTCCTCCACGGTCTCCTCCTCATCCTCCTCCTCCAGCAGCTCCGGGGTGGAGCGCAGCGCAGCCAGCGGGATCTGCTCATAGCTTCCCGGGAAAACTTTGTTGTTGCCATGGCAGCGTGACGCGCACTAACCCCTTCAGAAAAGACTGAAAGAGAAAAAAGACTTGAAAATTAAAAACTTTGGTGCAGAAAGGCAGCGGGACTGAAGGAGGACTTGTGTACAGCCGTGCGTAATTACGCACATCCATACGTTCACGGTACACGGATGCACTTTCCCCCCGTCTGGACAGTGAAGTTAACACGGTCATGTCACGTGATCATCAGAGTTTCTAAAGGGGAGCGTGTGCACACAGTGAGCGCGTGTCAGTGTGAAATAACTGCAATAATGTTTGAAGACAGAAAAGCTTAAGTTATTGACAAAGTGTTTATAACATGAGTGTGCGTGTGTGTGTCTGTGTTTCCTCAGTGCCTTGCTGTGTGTGTGTATGTGTGAGTCTGTGTGAGTCTCCCCAAGAGGCTGTAACACAGTGTGAACATCGTCTTTAATCTGTACAGGTCAAAATCTTTATTTTTGTACTCATGTGGTCCACTGTAACTCAGAGTGTTTTAATCTGTTGAACTCATCTTGTTGTGATGTGTGTTTGACTTATTAAATGTCCAGAGATGTTAACGCTCGTGCTCATGTCTGTTCCTTACTCGCTAAACACCGTGATGCGTTCACGGAACATTACAACGCTGTATGATCAATGACAGTTATGGGAAATAGAGGCAAATGTAACACACTCAATATCTCCAACAAGTTAGAGTAAGGGCACCGTCTGCACATGCTCAGTTGAATTTCTCTCTGCCTGCTGAAAAGGAGTGAAATCACTTCAACACAGCAAAAAATATAAACAAAGCAGGATTTTTATGTGTAAAAGGTTTGTTTTGTGGGATTTGCATTTCTAATCTGCTAGCTAGAGTGAAAATAAATTAAAAATTTAATAAATCTTTTATGAAAGCTTTTGGTTAAAACAATAAATAAAAGTAACATGGTCAACCTGCGCTAACGAGAGTAATAGTGTGAGGTCTTTACATGCTGACCAGGTTAGGTTGATAACTGAGAATAACATCAAAATTTGTTTATTAGCAATCATTAAAAAAAGATCTTGTACATGGTTATTTACAGAGTTTTATAATTATCATACATTTCTTTATCAAATTGGTTAGGGACTTTCCTTGACCTCGAATGAAATTCAGACGCGACGCAATTCCTCAAAGTCTAATAACAGCTGGAACATTCTTAATCTTATTAAGAGAGAAATCACGCTATGACAGTTTCTATCAGACTCAGTGGTTAAAATACAGCATTTAAATGACCACAGTAGATGTTTCCGTAGATGACAAGTTTATTTCAAGTAATTTGTGGGCTCCAAAAGATGATGTGAAAAATGTCACTGTGGCCCCGGTCTCCTCTACTTCCTTCCCGTTTATTAAAAAAATGAAAAAGATATTGGAAACTTTTTTTAAAGGGTAAGTCCCATTTTACGTCACTCAAGACTTCTCAATCTGACTCAGTTTTTACCCACTCACTTTTTATGTAGGTCTTATAAACAGACTGAGATCAACACGCACAGTTTGTACCAGTGAGGGTGAGATTGTATAGCGATAAAGACTTTGAGGGATAAATCTGTGACCTGAGACAAAACTTTTGATCAGGTCAGAGATAAAATATATAAATTTAATATGTTTTTTGTTCCTTTAGTTTCAAAGGAAATAACAGCATAATTAACACAGACAGACTGCTGAACACTTTATAAACAAAGACCACATGTCTGAAGGTGACTTTTTCAAATGTAAGATAAGAGTGCATTCACGTGTTCTTATTCATTGAATAACCTGACATAGAGCGGAGCTTGAATCAGAATAAGTTTACACCTTATTGACAAGTAGGTATCTGTTGCAGCATTTTGGTTCTAGGAAAACAATGAAAACAGTAACTAGAGAAATAAAGACAGAAATATGTAGACGTAGAAACTCTTAACTCTAACCCTAAAATAGAAACAAAGAATATAAAGACTAATAAGTCTATAACTGAAGCTGAATAAATTTATACATATTCTGCAAAGAAGAGCTGTACATGTGCGCAGAAAGGTGCAGGATGATACGAGTGCAAAATCCAGAAGGGCCAGTTGTGAGCTTTCCCAACGCTGAAAGAGAAAGATGAACTAATTTATTTGTTTCTATATATACGCAGTATATATTTTAAATTTTGGCCTGAAAATGAAATAAATATGTGGGCAGAATATGAAATCCTCTCAAGCTGATCAGTCACAGATTTTCAGAGTAAATCCAGAGGACAGGACGTTCATGTATATGATATATTTGTTTGATTGAATTGACAGTAAAACATCGGTGATCATGTTTAAATGTCACTCCCTCTTTCTTGTTTCATCACTATTATTAATCAACCTGATCATCAATGTTACACACAATGTAGTTTTCACGGTAGGCATAATTTAATCTCTGAGTCTGTTATGTTCACATGTGATCAGAAAAAGACAACTTCAAATAAAAAAATAAGAAAGAAAAAACAGAGAAGTGAGCATCTGTGAGTCTAGGTCAGACTGTTTTAGCATGTTTCCGTGTGGTGTTGTGATTATATACATGTGCTACAATGAAGTAACCAATTACTCACACAGGAGGACAAAGTGAGGCAAAAACAGACGCATTTAAAAACTCTCATCATATGACAAAGGTAATCGGCATGTGATAACTTAACAGATGTACAGTGACAAAGATTTAGACGAATGTTCTGCAGTATTTTCAAAGCACAGAGAAAAAGATGCATTTAAAAAAACAGAAGATTCAAGTCTTTTTTGTCGTTGTCAAAAACAAAGAAACAGCGGAGCTTCTCTCTGAGCTGTCCACTGCAAGTAGAACAACAATGAGACAGAAACACTGAAAAGATTTTCAACCCCAAATAATAAAATAGAATAAAAAAATATATAAATGTATTTTAAAAGTGTATTTACCTGCTATAATCTATTGGTTATTTCCCAAATATGATCTTAGATTTATTCCAGGTATAAAGTTCATGATACAAATCTGCAACATTTTCATAGAAACATTTTCACCATTTGATTAAAAACTGATTCAGTTGACGCCAGGTTCAATTACTTACAATAATCAATCACAAAGGGACTTTAATTACTCTGTGTATCAATGACAAATATAATTATGGTGAAATGTAATCCTGCTGTTTACTTTCATTTACATATTAAAAGCAGCATCATGCAGACACGTTAGTTTGAATTTCAATTAAAATCTCATGATTTTAAATTTACCATCATTTTAACTGACTTTCAGAGATTTTAATCAAACATTAATTTTATTCATTCATCATTACTGTTCATGAGTTTTCTCCCTGCGGTTGGCCGTCTGTGTCCGTCCGCAGATTATCAATCTGGCGGCGTTTCATTCAGAGGCTGAAGTGAAGCGTTTTATCAGCGCGCCCTGACACTGTGTGGGAGCTCCTCACTCTCTCTGCTCTCACTCTTTTTAAATAACTGGTTCAAAAAGTTTCAGGGGGATAAATCAACATGACAGGCCGATGGTTCGTTTACCCTAAAATAAGGAGATTGTGTCCCACTATATATAGGTGATATATAATTTAGAGAGACGTAGAGGATTGTGCATAATTAAATGAAACACAGATGCAGAGAAGTAGGGGCACAATACACCAACCAGAAATTTAAAAATTTTTAAAAGGCTTGAATTAATCTCTAAAAAAACATGTGTTTATTTGGTATCTTCTTGATCTGATGGTTTGTAAAAGATGACAACCTCTCTCTGCAGTATGTAAACATATGATGAGTTTGTAGATTTTATCGGATTATTATATTATATATATCCATTATAGGATATATGAAAAAATATCATACCAAATCATGCCATACCATACTATACCAGAAAATACAATACAATACAGCATGATTTGATTGCATAGGATAAAAAAATGATACAACAATACAACAATGTGATAGGATACAATCAATGTTATTGTAAAGAAGCTTGCCAGGACTCCATTGCTTAACAATGTTAGTGCTTCTACACTAAAATGGACAAAGAAAAATAATAAAGACAAACTAACACCAGAGGTTCCAAAAACTAATTCCATGAGTGTCCACTAGAGGTAGTTTCCTAAAGTCAGTCAACCTCCTTAAAGCCCCATGTTGAGAATAAACATGTTTTCAGTCTGGGAAAAAAATAACAGTTTGGGTGTATACAGCTCATTTCTCTGTTCGTGAAAGCTGTACAGGGCTGGATTTACATATAACTGACCTGTTTACATTATATTAGGGATTAAAGTTATACATGTAGGCAGAACTAGGGGGTTGTCTTATTTGGCTTCATAGCACATCTTCAGAAACCAGAAGGTGACAGGTTCATGCAGTCAATGTTCAAATCTTTGAACATTTCCTCTCATTGATACACTCAGAGCAGCAGAGTCAGAACAGAGGGAGACAACCAGACCTCCTCCTATCTCAGATCTCCTCTGACGGCTGCAGACAATCAGCGCCTGTAGTTCAGACCGTTTCCCTCCCTGACACTCTGATCTGATAGACTTTAATCTGAAAAATTAAGTATAATTATATTTAATATGTGCCACAGATGACCTGACCCAGCCCAGTGACAGCATGTGAAAGTGTGAGCATGCAGACATGAGAATCAGCTCTTTATTATTAACCCACATTTTACATGAAAGAGCACTGAGTGGACCGGTCTGTGTGACAAAAGGTAACAATCTGAGGTTCACTTCAGGGGTGCTGTAGTTCAAAACACAGTCAAGTACAGATGATTTAAGTCAGTGATCTTAGCTGTTGATCTGCACCAGCTGTGTCCAGAGGAACTACGGACTGTTTCAGCTCAGATTTTCCGCTTCCTCCTCCTTTGTATTCAAACTAACTGTGAATTACAAACAGGAGAGAGTCCCCAGAGATTGGTTGCAGAGGATGTTCTGTATGAGAAAGGATTTTGCAGACTTCTGACTGAGCATTCAAATTAAGTTTCACTTTGTTTCTCAGCACACATGAGAGTGAAATACTGTCCTCCTCCTCAGATCAGGCACACTTAAAACAGACAACTTTAAAGGGATATTTCAGTATTTTTTAAGTGAGGTTGTATGAGTTACATATCACCAGTTAGTGTATGAGCTACAGTGGATAACAGTCAGCTCAGCCCCTCTCCTGAGAAGCTGCTGAAAAGAACAGGACAGCATTACCATGTCATTCAGAACATTTTAAGAGACTCTGACCCAAGCTCTCATCTTGCTGTAAGTGTTGACGTTACAGTTTGCAATTAAAAAGACCATTTAATTTTTGACATACAGGCATTGCACAAAAAAAAATCCATACTCCAGAGAAGTCCAAAAAACTGCACTTTTCCACAATATTCAAACATTACAGATGGCAGATCTTTGAATTTCCATGAGCTGTAAGTCATAATCTTCAAGATTCAAACTAAAAAGTCTTGAAATATTTCACTCGAAAAAAAATGGAAATTTCGATTTTTGACTAAAAGTATGGGGAAAAAAATGAATTTTTCTGGGACACTCTCAATTTTTGTGCGGCACCTGTACATGGTCTTGGGTTTATGATTGTTTGGTCATGTCTATGTAATGGATTTTGTTACTTTTGCGTCTCTGTTTTGCATAATGTTCAGCGTGAAATGCCTAAGATTACTCTGTAGACACTGTGTTGGGTGGAGAGTTGGCTATCTTAGCTCAGTGTCAAACACGGAGTACTTTGATAAGGTAAACATATCCTGTGCACCACTGGTTGTCGGTATTAGCTCAAAGTTTGTATGTCTCTCCTGCTCTCCAGTTTACAAAGAAGTTTATCCACTTTTGACAATGCTTGGGTCACTTTTTTCCTTAAAAGTGACTTCATCGGCACTTCAACAGCTAAAATTTTTCGGTAGTGCATACACTTAAAACTGAGATGAGTGCCTGGGCCAAGGTCTCTCAAAATTGGCTAATTTATGTGGTGGACTTGGTCCAATCTGCAGAAAACTGTGGCTGAGGTAGTGTCTCTATTCCCCTGGCAGTTTCTCATTAGAGGAGCTGGGCTAACTGTGGACATGTAACTCATACAACCCTGCTTAAAAAATGTTGAAATATTCCTTTAAGCCTCAACAGACAGCCCTGGTTTGTTTTCAGCCTGTGGCTCCTGCTCTCTCTCCACAAAAATCCCAGAATGAGGGAATGTATTTTAAATCAGAGAGTATTAATGCATAACTAAGAGCACTTCACATGTTTCAGAAGAGTTTATGTTTGAAGAAATGCATCCTGGGGCATGTAGGCACTCCACATTCAGGAGCGCTCTCTTACACCGTCATTGGCAGCCCTGATAAGTTTAAAGAAAAAGCGAGGAGAATGATCCCTTAGAGAGAACTACAGAGTAACAGTAATGTTTAGGTCTGTAAACAAAGACTGCTTTGTGCTGCAGAGTGGGAGAGGACCGGGTCTGTCCGGGCGTTGACCTTTCTTCTGTCGGTTAAAGTCGTCTGAGTCTGGTGGAGGTCTGGGTATTGCACAGAGCTGGATCACTTTGTCTTCAGACCTTGAAAGCTGTTACTTTTGCACCTTGTTTAAATCTCCTCTCAATAAATACATTTCACATAATACAACAGCAGAACTTCATGATACTTTGGCTCTGCTCCTTTGTCTCTGAGATCTCCTGTTTGACACCATACTTATATTGCCTTGCATGTTGCTGGAGTGAAAACTGTTCTTTATCCACCATGGCTCGCTCACTCTTTTGAATACATAGCATCAATGATTCACAAGGATTGATTCAGATTTAAATTATTCCTAATCTGGACAGTTTACAGAGTTGACACAGCTAATGTTTACACTGGCTCGGTCATGGCTGCAAGGAGATCGCTCGTACAACCCTACCAGTTTGAGTCAGAGTCTGACCCAGAGGGAGAAGCTCCGGAAGAAACTCTTAGCCGCGTTCAGACCAAACGCGACTTGAAGCGACCTAGTCGACACATCCTATGTATTATTCAAAGCCGTCAGGAGGGTCACGCTTAAAGAGGAAGATATGAATGTAGAAAAAAATACAACCAGAGCTCTGCTACAATGTAAGATTGTGGTGCTCTAAAACTTCTCTGAAGCCTTTGCGAATTAATAGGATGGATCCAGCATTAGCCGGGACGTCCCGTATTTTAGCCAAAAGAGGCGCGTCGCCAATGCTAAAGCTACATGCTATGGATCCGGTAAACCGGCGCGGATCCGGTGTGTTTATCAAAGCGTGGTGGCCGTGCCGAGGCACCGGGGGGAATTTAGGCTAAACAGTAAGTCAAAATAAAACGTTCACACTTACAGATGCCACGATTGTAGTAGGATCACGGATAGTTGGTACGGATCCATTCATTATCTTCAGACATCTAGCAAATCCAGCGTTGAACTGTCCCTCGTCGATAAAACAGTCCGAAGTGAAATGGTACACACATATGTACAGATATGTTGGAAGTGCCGCGGGTACATTCCCATTATAAATAAAATCCACCCATTGAGTCCTCAAATCCTCCGACGAGGGAGTTTTCAAGAGTTTTGTGCTCGTTTGTGCAGCCAACAACAGAGCAAACGCTGCCTCCTCTTTCAGATCGTACTTCCGCCATGGTTCTAACCGGAGCTATGGGAGCGAGCGGCCGGAAATAATGGCGGTGTTTTGATAATTTTTTGGGCAGGGCAGTGGGCGGCTCCATGGGCAGTACCATCAACCCGCCAGCACTGACATGACGCCATGTCAGTGGAGTTTTCAGAACGGCCAGGTGTTGTGCCGTAGAATGCACCCCTGCCGTAGAACGCACCCCCGACGGGAGCGCGGTTGAAAGTACTTAACAAGGCGAAAATAATCCAAGTTTTCCTTACTATTGAATGAATTCATAAGCGTGTGCCTTTATTAATTTCATTCAGGCTATTCAGATAAGTCGAAAAAATAGCCCTCTGATTTGGAATATTTGCTGTCCCGAAAATATAATGTTCGCTAGCTTGACAGCTTACTGTATAATTTATATACCCAAGCACACCTCCATATGTGCATTTTTGAGACACATTAAAACAGAACAAAAGTTGTCACGATCAAATACTCGTAGTTTTTACAAATATGAGATCATTTTCTGCCACTTTAAGAAGCTAACGAGTGTATGGAATGCAGGGGATGCATTCTACGGCAGGGGTGCATTTTACGGCACAACACCTGTTCTGAGCACACAGTTCCTAAATACAGAGATAACCAAAAAACGACTGGATGGAATTTTGTCGAACTTGGGGGGATTGTAGCGGTTTTCTATCCCTGATATGCACCCCCTCCCATCAACAAAGTCAGGTTTTCATGCCATGGCCCCTTTAATGGGCTGGACCAAGGTTTATGTCCTTAAAGCTCCTGTGACTCTTTTTTTGCCAGTTAAAACACAGACTGAAATTAATGACAGGGCCTCCTTGTGAGCTGAAAAAGCAAATGAGACCCTTAGAAAAAAGATAATTATTTCTAGTACTGTAATTTTTAAGGATTTAAGCTGCTGTGAGGGGGGTAGGTGTCAGACCAAATGATTGACAGCATTGTAACAAAGCCTTTTAAAGCTCCTGTGAGGAGAGTTTTTCAGACAATCTCTTAACAAAGTGTAAATTCATATTGATGTTTTTTTATGATACAAATGTGCAAAAGAAGACCATTTTTATGTGGTAAATTTTTATGCCTGACACTAATGAGAGTCACCAAGAGTCGCCAGGATGAGGTTTTTGTCAGAGACATGCAGGGGGCAGGATAGGCAAAGACAGCTCTGCCCACAAGGAGCGCCAAAATGCACCTTTTTTCCAGTTAAATTGGTTTTCCAAAACTGGAAAGATCTGCAATGAATTATAGAACATGATGTTACTGTCATTAGAATTTTTTTTTTTTTTTTTTTTTGGCAGAGTACACAACTTCATGCTGCGGATAGAATATGGAAAGAGATAAGAGGCACAGTTCCTCACAGAAGTTTTATGGTATATCACATTTACCTCATAAGCCGGATGTTGAAGTAGCGAATGATTTCACAGCTGTGCTTATTTTGGCAGCTTTTATGGATTTAAATTATTAACCTTAAATATATTTCCAATTCAAATTTAAATGGCATTTTCTTTTTATTTGATGTCTTTGCATACATGTTCGAAATAAATAGATTCATTCATTCATTCAAATTTTAGTCATTTCTACTCTTAGAATAATACTTCTAGCCTAGTTTTAGTCCATGAAAAGTCAAAACCGTAAAAGTCAATAAAAAGTCATTAGGTTTAAGTCCTTACATTTAGTCAAAACATATTCTGTCTTCAAACTAATCTCATCAATCAGAAATTGGCATCATGGCTGTGTTTAAACAACTTGGCCTCCTCACTCACTTTATTTTTCATGTCTTTTCATTAACTTTACATCCAAATCACTTGTGCAAATGATTAAATTTGAGTTTGGTGTGAACACAACATGAGTTACGAGTTACTTAGGTGGGCAACAAAACCTTGATGAAAGAAAAGGAGATGTTACAAAAGATGAAGTTATAGCATGCATACGAAAAGTACGTTTGTAAAATAGACAGTGTTTTCACCGTTGGATGAATAACCTGTTTGCCACTTGTAAATTAGTGATTGCTTCAGGATATAGTAGGTCAACCAGGCATCCTACCAAAGCAGAGGCAGACATACTTTGGCCCATAACTCGATCCCACCCAGTGCTTGTAAACTGGGACATGAGCAGTATTCCAGTTAGTCCGACTTTATTCTCCAACCTGTTACCTGGTGACCTGCAGTGAGAAAAAATAAACTGCACCTGACACAGGAGCTGCTCCATGATAATTCACATGTATTTTATTGTTGTACATACATTCAACATGATCAGAGTAACAATCTTTGTCACACAGACGAGTGTCTGATATATAAGGCTGACGGAGAATAGAGGTGGAGTGAGAGATAGTGTTTATAAAGCTACATGTACAAAGCTTAGTGATCACAGAGTCAGAGTGTTAGCTTGAAAGGTCTGACTGGCACAGGTCTGTGTGGGGTATCAAGACTACACTTCATCTGGGAGTGGCTGAACATCAGCTTCATCCGCGTCTAAGGTTCAATCTTGTACTTTTTAACTTTTGAATATACTTTAGACTGTCAATGACTAAAAGTGACCCAAAAAAGTCTGTGAATGTCTCCTGTAGATCTAGTCCAACTCGCTTCACTTTTTCTCTGTCATTGATCTCTTTTTTTTTTTGCAGCTCTAAGCAGTTTTAGGTTTAGACTGTCCAATGTAAAAATAATACCAACTGTATATTTTTAGAGCACATGCTACTAAAATGGATCAAAGTATCAAAACAACAGCCCTACTGGAGACACTGCAAACCTTTTTGTTTTTACCTGTTAGTCATTAAGATCTAAAATAGGGTAAATAGTTTTCTCCTTTAAGTGATCAGACCTGAGTAGAGGCTGGAATGAGTTAAACACAAAACATACAAATAATAGTGTATAAAGAGTAATATGTGCTCTTTGGAAAAAGAGAAAAGTGATCAAACAAAAATGACACTCTAAGTAGTTTACATTCAATTTTCACACATATAAGGCAGGTAGGAATGGAGTCACAGCAGGGCTGGGCAACGCAGCAACTTAGTTCAGGATCCTGATGGAAATTTATGTCAGAGATCAGGATCAGTTCTGGATATGTTTTACTCCGTGTGGACAGATCTAGCAGCCAATTGTACTCCAGTCAGTCTGTAGTGTTTAGCTTGTGGCCATTTGAATATTACATCACAAAAGAAAAGCTAAAAAACATTCAAGAAACACCAACTCTCCTGTTGAATTTCCACCAAGCTGTCTGGTTTGGTTCCATACGGTTTGGTAGACCCTGAAATTGGTTGTGTTTCAACAGCCAACTGTCCATTTGGAGGGTTCAGACCACTCTGGAGCACAGGCGCTTTGTCAGTAAAAAATTGGTCATTATCACTACATTTGGAAAGAATGTTAATTTTGATGATCTTGTTTGTTTGTTTAACTTGATTGCATCTTTTTTTTCTTAAGGGCTTTGACTGGGGGGATACTATACTAGAGTAAAAGACCTCTTCATATGGATTCACACATCTGCCTCCTCCTGCTTCTCTCTCCACCTCTTGCTTCTCTCCCTGCTCTCCTCTCTCCACCTCCTGCTCTTCTCCTCCTGCTCCTCTCCCCGCTCTTCTCTCTCCACCTGTGGCAGCCTGACATTTTGTACTGCTGTTGCACAACTATCATGGTGGGAGATATCACTTCCTGGCGCTCCAAAACATTTATCCAAGCTGCCCATGTTAAAGTGAAAGTGAGAGCTGTTTGGGGGAAGGATCATGTCCACACTCTGCTGTGAAGGAAGAGAGGGAGGGTGAGCTTAAATCAACAAGAACTTCTCAATAGAGCCAAAATTGAAATTCCATTAAAATCCCAGCTCTACTTGATAGCCCAACAGTAGGATGGCAAAAAGATCTGTTATTTTGGCATCTTTCCCAACTCTTGACACTGGAAATGTAGGTGGGTGCACTAGACTGAGCCAGACTGCTTGGTGGAAATGCAAGGTGAGGGTCAAGCTGTTTTCTACATGATTGTGCAAGCTTGAAATGACAGTTGTATTTGTGTTGGCGGATCAGTGTTAAGGCCTCCTTTCTTATCCGTTTTCTTTCCTAACTTCACAAGATTTCATAAGATGCTGCTGCTGCTGCATGGTCCAGCCCTGCACAGTTACAGGCTTTGGCATTAAGACACGTCAGGATGTGGAGTTTTTCTGCAGCAGAGAACAAGAACAAATATCAGCTAACATTCACAGAGCATCTGGATCATCACAGTGAGGAGTTTACCCTCTGGAGACAAACACCAGCAACAAATGTCTCCGCGGTGCTGACAGAATAAACACCAACAAAGAACAGCTTCTGTTTCTCAGAGTCGGCAGCGGTTTGTGGAAGATTGTCCTTGAAGCTCCTGTTTCTATCAGCTGCTGCCCTGCTGTAGAGTCCAGGTAAATCCAGGTACAAAAAAAAAAAGACTCTCCTGTGAGGCGGGGCAGGACAGATCGCCCCCCATGGATGGATGAAATCATGTTATTGCCATCACTATCTGCAGTGATCAGAAAGAGACTGTAGGCCCAGGGTACGTCTCTCCACCACACCAGAAGTCCTCAGGCTGGGGGACCTCCAGCAGCCACGTCTCCTCCATCTCCTTCTCTTCATCCTCCTCTCTTCCCCTACTCCCTGCCCCTCCCTCTCCCACAGTGTGCAGGACTTTATAGTAGTGACAGTCCCGCCCGTCATCCGGGTTGTAAGGAGGAGCCAGGATGTCGAGGAAGGCGGTGGGTCCTTCCACAGCGTCGATCTGATGGAGGTTATCCCGCAGAGGAGTGAGGAGGCACGGCCCGCTGCTCTCTGAGTACTCCGCAACCGAGCGAAGTACGGCGCGCCGCACAGAGGCCGTCTCAGGAGGAGAGACAGGGGGGTCAAACTCAGGCGGGGTGACCGACAGGTTATCCTCCAGCTTGTCGAAGCAGCGGACGCTCACCTTCCCGTACAGAACCTGAATGTCACACAAGACGCAGACAGACAATAAGGTTACCACTGTTCATTTTACATGTGCTCTTGACAAAAAATAGTCACCATACTTCTTCTAACACGAGCTCTCCTAATACAGACAACTAATCAGCCCAGTCTTGTCTACTAAGCATCATAAAATAGAACAATGCCATGAAAGCAGTGAGCACCATTAAGTGTTTAGCTTCAACGTGGCCAAAGTGCAAAAAAATCTGGATGAAAGAGGTATGGTGCTTGTGGTCCCTCGTTTGCCAGCTGCTGGCCTGGTGATGCTGTTTCTCACTTCAGCGAATTACTCAAGGAAGTGATTCGGTTCAGTATGTTCACTTGAAAGATTCGGTTCTTTTGAGCAAATAGTTCATAAACGACACAACACTATAGTGCTTTATCATTATTGGTCCCTGCAGCTCACTTCCGTTGTGGCTTTTTTTATTTGCATCCTTTTATTCTGGCAGAAAGTAACTTTTTTTTTTTTTTTTTTTTCGCACTGCCACTTTTGCAGCAGTGGCAGTTCTCGGCCACTGTAAAGAAGTTTGTCCTAAAAAAGGTCGAACTGCATGGGAAATTAGGTGTTTATATAAAGCTGGCTCTCTTTTTTACCTGACAAGATCATCATCCTAACTTAGTTAGAAAAAGCCTTTTTTTGTCTCCCCTCACATCGGAGAGAAAACCCAAAATAAGACAGTCAGAACTAAACCCAACTCCAACTTTAAACCATCAGCTACTCTTCTTTACATCACTTTCTCTGTATCTGTCTCCAGAGAGAGGAGAGGAGGAGAAGAAGGGAGAGGAGAGGAGAGGAGAGGAGAGGAGGAGAGGAGAAGAAGGGAGAGGAAGAGGAGAGGAGAAGAGAGGAGAAAGAAGAAGAGGGGAGAGGAGAGAACATGAGAGGAGATGAGAGGAGAGGATAAAGAAGAGGAGAGGAGAGGAGAGAACAGGTGAGAAGAGGAGAGGAGAAAGAAGAGGAGAGGAGAGAACAGGAGAAAGAAGAGGAGAGGAGAGAGCAGGAGAGGAGAGGAGAGAAGAGGAGAGGAAGAGGAGAGGAGAGGAGAGCAGACCTTAAGCATCCCGTTCATCCCCGGGTGGTCGTGCAGCGGGATGGAGGCCCCGGCTCTCAGCAGGAACACCCCCATGCTGAAAACCTCCGTCTCACAGATGTGCATGTAGGTGACTGGGGGATTCTGGGGCCCCGCTGGCCCGGGGTTCGCTTGGGGTTTCCGGGGGACGATTTTGAGGTCCGCTGCTCTGATAGCAGTCACTAAAGAGACCAGTTCCGAGTGTCTGTCCAGATTGTTGTCCCCGTTGGCCTCAGATTGAAAGCCCTGAAAGGTGATATGGGCCTGCTTTGCGATCTTCTGGATCAGAGGGGTCTTGTTGTCCCGCGGCATCCTGAAAAACTAACGGCTCTCCTCTCCGTGTGTCCGTCTCCGCTCCGCCGGTGTTAAAAGCGTTTTAAATGTCTCTTTAAAAAACCCACAGTCAATAGATACCTCATACAGATGCCCGATACAACTTTAAAAAAGACAAACTAGCGACTTTACTAAAAATAAAACACGATTCATGGTGATAAAGAGTAAAATTAGCATCAGATGACAGCTTCCCTCCAGTCATTTTCCACCGACTCGCCTCCTCGGTACCCCACGCTCAATGCGCCTGCGCATCAACCACAAGCTTTCAGGGAGTTGTAGTTCAAACAAATCACTGCGTCTACGGCATTTAGAAAAATGGAGAGTAAAGATCTAGAAAGTAAAATCACTTAGACGAAAATGATCTGAATGGATTTTGCAAATAAGAACATACACTGAATTGCGTACATAATAAAACAACAAGACACCTAACTTTTAGTGACACTACATTTCCCAAACTTCCTCGGGGGTGGTCCTGGTTAAGGAGGGGAAGGCCAGGCAGGGCATTGAACTCCTGCAGCCCTCCCACATCCTCCTCTCTGTACATCCTCTATAGGGCAGGCAGCCCCCCAACATCCTCCTTCACTGAGACCACATGGTATATTTTACTAAGAGGCCAACATGTTACTGCTGCTTATTTTAAAAATGCACACATTATTAGTGTCAACCTGAGGTAATTAAGAAAAGGCACTGAGAGCAAAACACAAACTGCAATGTTTGTTCTTTTTTCAGTTTCTTTTCATTGTCACCACATTATCACAACTTTGATCTGGATTTCTTCTTTTGCTTCCCATTTCTACAGTTTTCTTCCTTCCTCAACATTCAAACTTAAAAAAAACATTAATGCATCCGCCATATTACATTTAACTTATTTGGCTTTCTAGCAATAATGTTCAAAAACAGAACTATTTAAATCTGACATTGTTATTTTCATAGCGTCAAAATGAATAAATAAAAATAGGTTTGAGGGAAAATTAAGAGCCACTCCGATACACCCCCTCATGGGTTTATTCTCTTTTCCCAGTACACTCTTAAAACCCAAATCCTGGGTTATACGTGTTGAGTTAAATTTCTGGGTTATTTTTCAGATCCATCCCCATTTCTTGGGTCATATGGATTCTATTGTAACCTAATTTGAGGGTTTTTTAAAATGGGTTAATAATTATGGGTTATTTTTCTCAGAGTAACCCAAGAACTGGGTCAGAATGTTGGGTTCGATTGACTCTACGTGGTTTTAAGGCCTAATGGCAATTAAAGTGACCTGGTGACCTTGTGAACTTTGGGCTAGCTCGGCGTAGCTACCCCAGGATGTACAAGGCGGCTGGGGTAGCTCAGCAGGTAGCGCATCCAGTTCCCAACCAGGGGGTTAGGGTTTAAATCCCATATGAAACACATCTGTAAGAAGCGAGCCATATCCACCAGTGTCGGTCTTTAGGCAAGACTCTTAGCGCTATGGCCTACAATCCGTTAGCTAAAAGTACATGGGCGAAATAGCGTACAAGCAAAGCTCCCAAAAAAAAAGCTCCTCAAATGCATATTTATTTATTTATTTCAACCAAGGTCATAAGTCAAATCAACTCAAAGATAGGGTTAACTTGACCCTTAAAAAGGGTTATTGTGTCAACCCAAAATTTGAGTTAATTTGAATAAGCCAACATTCTGGGTCAAAATAACCAAATAAGTAGTCGGTCTCTTTTCACCCCTGGTGTTGAAAAGAGGGTATTTAGAGTGTAGATGTCTCCTTGGCCCCTCCTACCGTGTCCCTCTCATGTTTTTTACCCATTGTAAATTGACCAGTAAACAAATAAGAGATAAATACATAGAATACACTTAAAACCTTAGGTAAGCAATGACAGGTGCCCATAAATTAGGAACTCCTCCATTCTCACCTTCAGTTGCTGTTGTCTTTTCCATCATGTACAGTAGATAGAAATTCAGCTAAATGTGCTTGCACACACTTACAAAGATTTGACACTACTTTTCTGAAACTTTTTTCCTTCTTTACTCTTAAATGAAAACTATTCTAGTGGTGTAGGTGATTGTTTGAAAATATTCCTAACTATATGACATAAAATAACGCCTCAATTGTAAATATCTTTGCACCTTACTTAAATTGATCTTGCAGCTGTTTAAATGACCTTAAAATTTCCCCCTAAATATATGGTTAATAGTTATTACTCCTATCTCTGTCTATATCTTGGACCCAGCGTCCAGTTGATTTGGTAGGAAGTTTGTGAATATTTCCACTACTCTGGATATTGTTAAAGGTGCACCTATCTTTTTCCTAACAAGGGACCACACTCTATGAGACCACTTCATCCATTTGTTTTTAATCCTAAACTCTCTCTCATTTCCTCTGCTCCAGAAATAGGATGGTCTCAAGGGGCACAAGTGGGCATGCATTTTTCCCTAATCCAAGCCAGTTTTGTACCACCCACTCAACCACACCATGGAGCTGTGCTGCCCAGTAATACGACCTCAGGTCAGGTAGAGTAAGACCACCCTGTATTTTTGGGATTGGGTCACAAATTCTGGGTTTCCTATTCTACTTTATGCAAACATTCGAACTTTAAAAACATTGGCGTTTGGACTTCTTGAAATTTGATTTCTTTTTTTCCTTTTCTACACATTTTGCCCGTTTTACCAAGTGCATACTTAAAAACTCTCTTCTCTTACAATCTTTTCTTATCCCAGACACTAATAATCTATTTGCGACATTAAAGCTCCTGTGAAAAGTTTTTTGAATCAACTGGATTCAAAAAACAGCCTCAATTTGAGAATTTCTTCATAAAATATTTACAGTAAGTGTTAAGTTTGACTGTGAGAATGAAATCTACTCATGCATATGGAGAGCAAGGTAAGCAAAGACAACTCTGTCCACAGAGGGCGCCAAAGGGACACAAACAGAAAATTCCTCACAGGAGCTTTAACTTTGCAGAGATCAATTCATCTGAGTTATTTTGTCCTCAAAACTAGGGTTTGTTTTGGCATCTTTTGTGCCCACGTTTCACGGCTCACCCTTCATACCTTGATTGTTTATCACTCCACTCTGCTTTTAAGGCATATTTCCAACAACAAGTAAGTAATTTTAGTGGTCGTATTATTTATGTATTTGTATTTTATTTTGGGGTAAAATTGGATATCCGTCATTGTATAAAAAAATCATATCATCTCATCTATCTGTTTGCTTGGTCAGAGACAAGACTTCTGTTACTGGCTGGTGTTACAATATAAATGCAATAATATACCTCAGGCCACCCCAGCAGTGTCAATGCTGAGACTGGGCCACCCAGACTAAAAGGTCTGGACACTCCCCTGCTTATTGGCATGTGCCTCACCCCAAGTACTTTACTCTTTTGCAACAGATGGATCAAAGCTAAATAGCAGGCTCTGTTGATGGATGACAGTGAATGACAGGGACTTAACTCACAGGTAAAAGTGAGACAACTTGTCAAGGATGAAAGTCCATGCAGAGCGCTGCTGTATCTGCACTCTCTCTCCCACCTCACCATCAATATAATCAAAAAATAAGGCCATCCATATACATTACAAAAGAAGTATGGAAGTTGTTCACTGAAGAAACATCAAATTGACAAATGTGTAAAAAACTCACCATCACCCAGAAAATATTTACAATGTAAATGGAAATATCACTCACAGCATAAGGCAGAGATAGAGCTGCTTTGAAATGGACACACAGTCATGAATCAAAGCTCGTGTGTTAATGTGGGTCAGAGCCTGTGTGTGTGTGTGTGTGTGTGTGTGTGTGTGTGTGTGTGTGTGTGTGTGTGTGTGTGTGTGTGTGTGTGTGTGTGTGTGTGCGTGTGTGTGTGTGAAGTTCTGAATGAATCAGTCAGGTGTGTCAGTCTGTCCCTGCTTCACGAGCAGGAGGAAGTGAAGATGGTTAACCCGACAACAAAACACACACTGAGTCACCATGTCACAAACACTACAACAACGGCTGAGTCACCAAATCACATACACACACACACACGCACACACACACAAAGTCAATGAGCTGTGTGTTCACATGTAGAGGACAGTTGTCATGGATGTTAGTTGGTTCGGGTTCGAGCACCTCTTTACACGTGTGTACTTTTTATTTTCTGCATGAGTAGCTGAGTGTGTGTGTGTGTTGCATTGTGTGTGAAGCAGGATGAGTGAGGGAGACACAAAGAGTGATATCCTCTTGAGAAATAATGAGGCCAGTTCATTAAAGGTTTACACACACACTCACACACACTCAGCTCTAAGATGAGACAGTGTTGCTTAGAGACCTGTCTTCATTAGGCATTACATGGTTTAAGTCGTATAATTCATTTATTAATTCAAGTGCAGACAAACAAGTGGACTATTTCATCAATCATCATTTAGTGTGCATGTTGATATATATACCTTGGATAAAAATGTTCCTGATTGTATAAAGCTGAATTTAACGCCAGACTTTATCAGCTGATAGCTTAGCATGGATGGGGATGGGAGACAAACCAGCAAGCAGGACTATGACCTCTGTATGTGAGACATACGCTACAATCACTAGACCAGCTGTGCCTCTAGCTATATAACCTTTTAGAGGCCTATGCCTTAAGGAGTCCTCGTCACGACAGCATTTTGAAACAAGAGAAGAAACAACAGATTAAAATAAGCAGACAGGCCTCTCTTTGAGCACAGTCACAGTCAAATCTCTGCAGATCCAAAATAGAGCAATCTGGCCTCCAGTAGAAGCTTGCATTAACTCTCCTCCTGTGTGATGGTCAGCACTGACCTGTTTTTGGTTTTAAATGCATTTAAAAAAAATTATAATAATCTACTAAATTATAAAATGCTCTTATTAAAATTATGGCACTTGGCTTGTCAGGGTCGCTAAGATTATAAAACAATAATTAGAGCCAAAACTGAAATCATATATGCACTGTGAGGCAACACACTGACAGCCAGATCCTCTTCCAATCATGTGAGATTTAGGGGATTCTCATTTTGCCAAGATGTTCCCTACACAAAAAAACAACAACAGGCATGTCCAGACATGTGAGATCAAATCAGTATCGATGTCTGTATGAGGGGTATACTGACAAAGAAAGGCCCAGAGCCCAAACCAAAAAATACTATAAACAATATTTTCATGGATAATGAAGCCGAACAAGGTAACCTAGAGATGAGAACCAAATTGGATGATAAATAATTGTTTTTAGTGTAATTTGCAGCTGATTTAAGACACAGTGTCATGATGTGTGCTGTTTGAGTTAGTTTTTCTCTGGTTTTGTGATTTTCCCTCGTGTTTCTGTTCCCTATTGTTCCTGTTCCCCTGTAGTCCTGTCTTGTGAGTTTTTAGTTTGTGTCTGACCCGGTTCCCTCATGTCCACAGTGTTTTATTTATTATCAGTTTTTAGTGTTTCTTGTTTTATTTTGTAGTAGTTTAGTCCCTGAGTCTCTGTGTCTCACCTGCCTCTCGTTGCTCGTTTCCTTGTGTGTATATATACCCCTTGTCTTCCCCTGTTTGTTGGTTGGTTCACTGTCAGAGTCTCTAGTGTCTTGTGGATTTTCCCCCAGTGTCCTCTGTTGATTTTTTGCCATTTGTGTTTCTTGGATTTTTGAGTTGAACATTTAAAGTAAGTTTTTTCGGTTTTCTTTTAGTTCTTTTTGAATAAATCATTTTTGTCGTCCTTCATTTTGGGTCCTTTTTCTGTTTTCAACCTCGCACCATGACACACGGGTCAAAACCAACCAGTTAACATAGTGCGTCGTGAAAGCCAACACAGGAGGAAGGTAAAATATCAAGACTTACTTCTTGCCTACAAAACAGCAACAAAATCAGCTCTTGCCTTCAGTCCCGCAACTGATAGGCGCTTGAAGCTCTCGTCATGACAGGGCCTCAAGTCTCCAGCCAAACTCTTCTCCTCTGTTTTTCCTCAGTAGTGGTAAATTACAATCTCTATTTGATTTGCACAGTCCTGAACAGCTTGAATAACACATTTTTTGGCATGCATGTATGACCTCAATCTTTGCAGTTTAGGGTTGGATTAGTCACTTGGTATCCAAACGGTTGAGTGCCAAATAAAGTAGGAGGGGAAAGGTTAGTCCCGAGTCTACACCTTACTGGGAGCATCTGTATCTGCAGAGAGGGCATCAGAGCATCCTGAGTTTAAGTTGCATAGAACAATATTGTTTGATTGAATGTTCACTGAGGACAAAGTTGTAAGAAAGACATTTTGTTTGTGTGACATCTTATTAGCATCCTCTGACATAAAGCCAACATTATTCTCTGCTGCTTAAAATGTGCATGACTGACATTTCACAGAAGTCAAACCAGCTTCATCAGAGCGTCCTCAGAGCCGCCGCCAAGGACTCTCAATGGACCGAGTCATTCTCAGCCTGTACACAATCTGCATATAAACACACACACACAGAAGACGCACAGACACACAAACATACTGTATTAGTCTAACACAAAACCATGGACATGTACACCGGTGCAGACTTGCACATGAATAAACTGCACCCATTCTCTAGTGTGCATAATCATAAAAGTGTGACTGAACCAGAGGTGCACAAACACACACTCACACACACATAATCACACACTCATGCATGCACACGCACACATTCCTGCATCTCTGGAATCAGCATATTGAGACAATGCTAACAGCTGCTTATGGATCACTTAGCGGACCGTCACTGTGCTCTTTGTGTTTGGGTGAATGCAGCGCCTGTTCTCTGTCTTCAGAGTTGTCATTATTTGTCGATGTGTCCGAGAACATGAGGTCTCTTTCTTCGTTGCCCCCCGTGGCCTCAGTGAATCAGGCCATCACTGAGAATGAAGCCCACTCTGCTGTCTGTCAAAGAGCGCTAACATCCCGAGCCAAAGTGCAAAATTCATCAGCATGCAGGGAAAAATGTGTGCATAAGTAGAGTGGAAACAGGGGGGGACAAAGCCATGCTAATGTTTGTTCTCTGTGACACACACACACACACACACACACACACACACACACACACACACACACACACACACACACACACACATACACACACACACTGACAGTCTTTACATCCAACTTCATCACAACCAAGAGATGTGAACTGTTCTTGTAAAATCATCTCAGGTTTATCATGATATGTAATTTATTGACAGTATTCATTCAGCAGAATAGTGTTGTGTCATTCGCGAACGATTCGTTCAAAAGAACCAAATCTTTTAATGGAACAAGCTGATTTGAATCACTTCCTTGAGTGATTCGTTCATTTCTCACTTCAGTTGAGCTAAAGTGAGAAACAGCATTGCCAGGCCAGTAGCCAGCGCACGACGGACCACACGCAACAACACCTGAATCACTCGGTGAATGAATCACGCATTGAACTACACTCTCTGGAATCATTTTTGTCAGATCAAACTAACTTTTTTTTTTCACTGCTAAATTGCCACCACAACAATTTTCATACAATAGGACCTGGTAAGTAGCATACCATAGGACAGTACACTTAAAACATCATGACTTTTAAGCAAATTCATTTTTACAACAACACAGCCAAACACTCTCGTCTCCCGGTCCCAGAAGTGGAGATCTGAACTGACTCCTGAAGCATTCAGCTGTGTATCAGTTCAGGAGGTCGGAGTCGCAGGCTTCTTCTGCTAAATGATTCTGTGATTTGATGAACAAATCTTTTGAATGAATCTTTTTAGTAAACTGATCGTAGTGATTCAGTACATCTAAAAGAACTGCTGTGCCCATCACTACAGCAGAGACAGAGAGCCAAAAGCTGATCATGCTTATGTGTTTTTAAGATTTTATTTTCCTACAAATCAACAAAAGTTTCAGTCACAGTAAGATAATCATACCCCTCAGTGTTTGATTTACTCTCAAGTGCATGAGGCGGGTAAAGGTCCTGCGGCTCACAGTTATATGTCAGACTGTCCTCAGCACTATTCTCACAGGATTACTATCATATGGATAGTTCATACTGTAGTCGAACAGGACTTGTGCTAAAATAGGATAATGTAATAGTCACACTATTAGACAGTGACAGTGAAGACAGTGAACACAGTTTTCTTCACATTTGATCGTAAAAATAACTGTGTGTGGAAGCAGGGGACTTTTTCTGTATAAAAGAAATAACTTCTCTGAATCAGCAGTTGAGTGAAACAGCTTTCCAGATTTACACCGCTGAGATAAAGATAGACATCAGCTACTTACATCATTATTTGTTGATGTGCAGATTATTGCTGATGTAAACATGCATATAAACTTCTTAAAAATAATAAAATTGAAATGAAAACTTGATTAATATTGGACTCAATAAGAAGAATATAAATCAGAGTTGGATTCAGAGTCAGGATCACTCAAATTGAGACCTTTTTTTTTACAATTATTCACTATTTATCATTTGCTGAAGGTCCTTAAAGTTGAAGGTCCTTAAAGTTAGAGGTATTGAAGTAAAGTGATGTGATTTCAAGACTTTTAATTGACAGATAAAGAATAAAAAAGCAGACACAGAAGTATGTAACATGATACTTCTAATGTAAAGACATACTGTGAAGTTTGTTGTTAGAGTGACACCATCTGGACGAATGAAAACAAAACTTGGTCCACAACACCCACCAGGTGTGAAGCTGTCACAGTGTGAACACACAGTGGCAGAGATTCAACTCCAAATCAAACCTGTGTTATATGGAAACAAGTGTCTGATGTGATGAACTTTGATTAGGCAAGAAACATTAAGAGATAATGGTGTTTCACAGCAGACACATGATACTGTCTTATTTATCACACACACACTGAAATACACACAAACACACTCACAGGGTAAAGAAAGCTGATGAATTGGTCCACTTTCTGTGTTCAGGGGAATGATCCGTCATTTAGCTGAGATGACCCGGTGTTATCACAGAGAGCGAGGAGACCATAACAGATCTATAACCAATATTTCCACCTCACTGAGTCTGGATTAATATCAACACACACACACACACACACACACACACAAAACCACTCACATACAGACACACACATTGCAGCAGTCTGCGGGTCTGTTACGACACAATGCGAGGCGTTCGATGGTCAGAAAAGTTCCCCAACACGGGCAGGGCATCAAACCAACATGCATCATATCCACGGTGTTACAACACTAATGGAACACTTTAAATGTCAGAGTTTCATCATGTTTGAGGTTCAGGTTCAGGGGGACATCAGGGTCAGTCTGTTCTGTTTTATTAAGCCTGATACAAGATTAGGGCCAATGTTGAGCTGAGTGCATGCAAAGACAGACAGGCTTGTTTAATTGTTTCATATTGTAGAGTAAAACAATTATGCAGCCTAAAGATCATCAGGCTGGGTCTGTGACCATCACATCAGCACTTGGACAAATTTGGGTATGTGAGAAATTTAGCAATGGAAGGACTTAAGTTCATTACCTGTACCAACTGGGATCATGTTGGACCCTTCAAAATTGTACCAATTCATATCAGAGTTTTATACTGCACTGTTTTATTCCCTATCCAAACATTATGCTCTATTCAATTGAACTCTGTTGTACTGTAACATATCATATCATATCATGTCTTGTCATATTTCATATTTCACTTGATTGTAATATATAGAATTACATGGTATTGTAATACATCCTATCATATCACATCATATGATATCACATTGTATACTATAATATCATATATCATCCTACTCTATCAAACATACCATGCTGTATTGTCCTGTTGTTGTACATTGCACTGTGTGTCTTTTGTTTGTATTGTAGCATTTAGTTGTATATTTTTCTGCACTTCTGTACTTAATTTTTTTTGTACTTTATTGCATCAAAATCTATTGTATCTTTACTTATTGTTGTATACTGAACCCTACAGTATCACATGGTACTGTATCATACCATATGATAAATACCATGAAGTATTGTACTTCATCGTACTGTATTGATTTGCATTGTTCTATGATGTTTCATGTTTTTTTGTATGTTACCATATCCTCCTACATTGTCTTCTTCTATATTGTGTTTTCTTATTTTGCACTTCATTGTGTTTTAGCATATTGTTCATAAAGTCTTGTTTTGTGGAGAATCGTATAATACTCTCTCACACCCTGAACTGTCTGTCCCCTTACTTTGTTTTCCCATGCGTGTCACCAATACACTCATGTAATGAAACATTGGAATAAAAAGATTATATTTAGCAGCATGACTTTCAAAATCAGCTCTGACACACACACTTGCTGTGTCAATCAACCATGACTTATGAGCTGCTCGCTTTCACTTCCTTGTTTTGGGTGTGTGGATCCCCCTCATGAGACACACACTGATTTGTTTACATCAGAGACTAAATTGAAATGGAACAGCATGCAAAGTGAAAATATCTCTCCATTTAAGGCAAATGAAAGACTGATGTATCTCCTGCAGCCCCACTAACAAATAGGCTTTATAAGATACTGAACAACCATGAAGACCCATGACCTCTGACAGCGCTGCACAGAACACCAAACTTAGTCACTTTGACTGGGAGTGTCCTAGTCTTAGAGTTCATCACACATGATTTTTTTGGTTTGTTTTATTGTTTTGTTTGTTTGTTTGTTTGTTTTTTTACAATATTGGACAGAACCAAGCAAGCTCTCTCTCTTTGTTTCCAATCTGTGTGCTATGCTGGGCTAACAGTATCCTAATAAAAGACAGTAGAAAGTATAAATCAACTGTGAAGTCACCTTGGGAGGCAGCAGCGCAGGAGGTAGAGCAATTGTCCAGTAACTGGAAGGTTGGCAGTTCGATTTCCTCCTATCCTGAGTCTGTCTGTTGTGTCCCTGGGCAAGACACTTTACCCACCTTGCTCCCAGTGTGTGTCCTCCCCTCATGAATTGGATGGTCGGAGAGGCCGGAGCTGCAAACTGGCAGCCGTTTTTGTCAGTCTGTGACTGTGTAAGTGATGAATGATGTATCCAGTATACAGTGCTTTGAGGGTTGTTGATAAAGTGCTATATAAAATCTGATGCATTATTAATCTTGGTATCTCAACAGCATTAATGAAGCTTTGAGTTTAGATACTGCTAATGAGATGTAAGTCACTTACAGAGGCCACGCCCCTGATTTAACATAACTTCAATTTTAATTCTAATGTAAACAAGAATATTATTTGCACTAATCTCACATGAATAAAGAAATATGAATAAACACTTATTTCTACCTGGCTGTTAACATCTTTATTACGACTGTAAGAATTGGACATTTTAACGTGGGGCTCTATGGGGAATGGCTCACTTAAGGGGACAGCCTCTAGTGGACACTCTAGAAATTACAGTTTTTTGGGGGGACTTTTGCAGTGGCATTATTTGCTCCTCGATATCAGCCCCCACTTTGTACTCAGCTTCAGCACTTAGTGTGTTTTCATGCACAGTTAAATGGAGCTACTGTAACAGCTTTATTAGGCGATTGAACTGGACTACTGTCTTTACCCCAGCTTACAAACACTGCGCAAGAATCAAGTTCTTCTTCTTCTCTGTAGTTCCCAGTTGACCTTTTAAAGGCCTAAAACAATTAACAGTGTTAGCAATGTATGTTCAGCAATTGGATGACTTTTCCAGCTCAGTACTTTTTCCCTTTTTTCATGCCCATTCATGTAAAAAGGATCTCATTGATCTTAAATCTCTTACAAACTGATGGTGTGTTTTTAATTCATCTCTGCTGAGTTTTTTCTTTTCCTCCAGGTATGGATCTCCTCTTTAATGAATATGTATATGTGTGTGTGTTATTGTTCGCACAGGAAGTGATTCATGGCAGATATCTGTGTGTGTGTGTGTGTTTGTGTTTGTGTGTCGGTGCACATGTCCATGTCTTTGTGTGAGGACATTATTCACATATTATACTGTATTATCCATTCAATAGATGAGCCTCCATCTCTGAAAGATCATAATATCTGTTTCCTGTCTGAGTCACACACACTCAGACACACACACACTCACAAAGCATCTAAACAGCCCCTCTCACTAGCACTCAGTTCTCTCCTCCACCTGTATCTCATTCAACTCGTCTCGCTCTGTCACTTCCGGCTTTTTCTCCATGTGGTCCTTTTTTCACACATCTCCTTCCTCTTTGCTTCTTTCAAAAACTGGACTCTCAGACTGATCCAGTCTTTTATTTGTCTCTATTCAGAACAAACAAATTAAAACTAGTAGCAACAATCATGTCTACAGCTGAGAGAAACGCTTGCATTACATCCTTTATAATTTTCAGTTCCTGTTTTTTTTCTATTTATATGCAGCCCCTCGGCTAAATAATTCAGCATCACAAAGTCTCCTTTCATTGCTTTGCAGACGACACACAGATGTACGTCCCTTTGAGATCTGGGGACCCTAGAAGCCTGGCTGCTGTTCAAGACTGTCTTGTCAACATTAACCGTTGGATGGTTTGTCAACAAAAATGGTTCAAAACTTCAAAGCTTCAAAGTCCCATTCCAAACTATTTTTTCCTACTTCAAGTGTTGTCAGTGGTCTTTGAATTGTGTTTATAAAGTTTTTAGCCAAAATCACATTTCCTGTGTCATTTCCAAGGTCTTTTCTTCTGCAAAGCTCCAGTAGCTCATTAGCAATTCTCCTCTGAGTCGTGGGTGGGGACAGCGCTGCTCCGCACACTCCTCTTCATGTTAGCTTGCAGCCTAACATTGCCGGTGTAGTAGAAGAAGCAGGTAACATAGGAGCGATTCAGCCCTCGGACACTAATGTCTTTGGGGGCATGTTGAAAGTTAATATCATAATTAGCTTTCTTACAAATATCTCAATCTTCTAAAGCACACACTTGTTCTGCGATTGTCCTCTCTATTTCTCCAAGTCTGGCCTGCATAGCAGAGTTTGGGGGGTGGAGCTTGGATTTGTGACATCAGAAATCTCACTGTATCAGAGCCTGCAGTTTAGGTCTGCCAGAGATTCACAGCAATTGAAGCAGAAATACTCAGAAATGCAATTTTGCACTTAGGTTTCTAATATGTCCAGTAGCATCAGCAAAGTGCCATATAAACATGTAGACAACAAGAAAAACATGATTTCATCGGAGTGGGTCTTTTAGACAAACAAAAACATTCAAGTCCAACATTTGATATGTTGTCTTTTTTCTATTCAGTGTCTATTAGGTTTGCAGGATTTACACACCATAAAATTATGTTGTTAACAACACTGTACACAGTATCCTTATTACGATCTGGAATTAGGATTGTGCATCAAATCTAAACTCAATTTGTAATGACACCTTAGACACAATAAGCCAGCTCTTTTCTGTATTTGCACGAAATGTCCTGACAGTCTATCAGATTAACCAGGTACTTCTTTCTGAACAAAGTGAAACACTCACAGAAATTTAGATATTTGTAGGTATTTGACGTACTTCTGGTTTAATTTATGCTCCACATTACAAAGTCTTAGTCGCTACTGTAAGGTCTTTCTGAAGTTAATTCCTCTCCTTCAGTGTGACATCTCCTCTCTCAGAAATCAAACCTCAGCTGACACCTTCAGTCAGAGCTCAGAGGAAATTCACCTTCGCTCAGTCATCTCAAGAATGTCCAACAGGAACCAGAGGACCGGGACTCCCTTGGTCCACAAAGACCTGCACAGGTCCCCATCCATGCACCCTCCCTCCATTCCCTCGTACGTCATCCGTCTGTCCATCCACCCGTCAGGCCGTGGCGGGACCCAGCGCGGCCGACAGACGTGAGCTGCCTCAGGTTGACTCTCCTCCTACGAGGGCCCCTCTCAGAGCTGTCTGAGGGCCTCATTGGACCCCGCAGAGTCCCGCCAACTCAATCTTAGTAGTGAACAAAGTGGAGGGAGCGGGAGCCGTCCCATCAGTCTCCATTATGGGACAGCGTTGTTGCTGGGCTGTCATGTTCCTGTGGTACTCCAGGGGAGATGCTGTCTCATACATCATCAGGGAACAAAGGCTCTGACCGGGGGGGAGGAGGAGGACGGGGGGAGGACGGGGGAGGTGAGTCCTTCCTGCCTCAGAGACACAAAAACACACACTCAAATGCACACACTCCCACCCCCACATCAAGTTCCTCAAGCACAGACCTCCTGTAGGGGGGTAGAAGGGGGGCTGATGGTCAAGATGATCAGAAGAGGAGAGGGAATCTTCACTAGGGCTTTCAGACATGCATTCTTGGAAAATTGGGGGAATTTCAGGGGCTCTGACCTGGAAGTTCACCTGGCTGTACTGTTCTCACACACAACTTCACTGTGAAGAGTCCTCATGCTGAAAAAAGGTGGGCCGGGAGGGTTCTGGAAGCTGAACATGAGGTCAAGTAGACACTTTGATAGTCACAACAAAATGTTTTACAATCTTATCCAAGATTTAAACTACTGATCCTTTTCTAGGGGCACAATGAGGAAATATTTAAGGCTCTTAAGCTTTCTGCTCACATATACAGCTCTACTTCAGGGTAACTTTTGGAAATTTTCAGGAACTTTGTACCTACCTACCTAGAGGGGGTGCATACTTTTTCTAAAATAACTACAAAACTGCAGAAGATTAAAACATTTCTGTGTTTTAAGTATCACAACAGCTAACAGATACCAGGTAACTTTTCATGACTGGTTTAAAGGGATATTCTGGCGTAAAATTAATTTAGGGTCAAACACAGAGTTAGACACCTCCTCGAGAGATGAATGTTGCTGACTTGCTTCTCTAGTTATACCAACTTTGGCAATGACCGCACAATAGCAATACACAGCGGTCTACATCTCCAAGCGCAAACCTCAACCAAAAAACCACTCCATAGCCACAAATAATGCTCAGAACAGCACCTAACTTCATCAACAGTACATATAGGGTCCCAGCCATAGCACTAGCCACCAAACATCATTTTAACTTTGCCTGATTTCTTTAGCAAAGAGACTAAACACAACTCGCCTACTCTCTACCACTTGTTTGTAGCGAGACCTCGAGCAAGTCCATAACAGACTGCTGCGGGGTGACGCAGCTCAAGGAAGAACATTTATGATAATTTCTTTATCATTTCCTTTAAGTAATAATCACCATATTAATCATTTGGCACTGCAGACGCGGTAGTTCTTCTGCCTTAGTGTCTCGGCCTGATTGCATTTCCATGAAGAAATTATCATAAATGTTCTTCCTTGAGCTGCGTCATCCCGCAGCAGTCCGTGATGGAGCGGCTGCTGGAGGAGAGTGGGTGAGTTGTGTTTAGCAAAGTTAAAAAGATGTTTGATGGCTAGTACTATGGCTGGGACCCTATATGTACTGTTGATGAAGTTAGGTGCTGTTCTGAGCATTATTTGTGGCTATAGAGTGGCTTTTTGGTTGAGGTTTGTTTATGGCTCCTCAGATCGCTGTGTATTGCTATTGTGCGGTCGTTACTAAAGTTGGTATAACTAGAGAAGCAAGCAGTCGGCAACATTCATCTCTCGTATCTAACTTGGTGTTATGACGTCTTTTAACCTTAATTAATTTTACCCCAGAATATCCCTTTAAGCTGCATGAAGTTGCACAAAGAATCTCATGAGCAGACTGTAATCTGTAAACATTAGCATAGCAATGACCAGCTCTAGAGTCACCACAGCAGCTCTGCCCCTTCGTTCCCCCCACCCTAACCCTGACGGTATAACGAGAAATCAGGATAAATTTATCCTCCGAGCAAACATTGCGGGTTGTTCACTCTGGGAAAAGTAATAGCAGAAGTATTTAAAGTGTCTAAAGGTCACAGAGCTCATGAAAAGCAGAGATATCAGCCTGTTTGTCCGTCTGTCTGAGTTCTCAGGGTAAAAACATTCATCTGAGAGGACTCCAGACCAGATCCTGAACTATTAAACAGAGCTTTAGTAGAACTGAGTGCTCAGAGGGGATGGTCTATTTCAGAGCAGTACCAGCAGTGATAGATGACTCTGTTCTGCCTCATTGTTTTACACTTTACTCCTCTGAACCCTGACTGATAGAGACACTGCTCAGTCTGTCACAAAACACACTTTAACTTACTATCGCACCGGGGGAAATAATACACAACATTTACTATCACAGGAGGCGATTGAGCTCTACCAATCAGAGCCTCCATACAGGTCAAACATGATGATAACACACTTTCATCCTCAGATATATGATCCGCTTCCAATGAGCATCAGGCTGGTAAAGACTCTACTTAGAAAATCACCTTTAACTACTTACTTTTACCCATGTTTCTGTGACTGGATAGCTTTTGTGTTCCTCGACTTTTTAACTTATTTTTCAAAATCTATACTTTTACTTAGATATTTTTTTTTGTGAAAAGTATTGTACTTAACTTCATTTACACTGTCTATGTTTGTCCTCTGTCCATCTCTCTCTTTCTTCATCTGCCTTCAAGTGTTGAAAGTGTTCATGTGGTTAGAGATGGGATGGGAGTTGGTCTGATCTTACAGGATGGGACTCTCAGTTTGATCCCATTTTTTACACTGGGTCATTGTAATTGGAGCATGGTCCAGACTGCCTTTTAAGTGTCTTGGGATAACGCTTGTTGTGAATAGTCGTTTTATAAATAAAGATTAATTAATTGATTGATATAAACTGCATAAAAAGAAAAGAAAATATAACCATGTTAACCAACTTCAGCCTCAGGTTAGCTGAAGTTGGCAGCTCATCTTGCTCCAGACCTTTTGGCTCAAACAGTGTGCCATCAGTTCAGAGCTGGCATCATGCTAACAGTATATACCATAGACTGTATATAGAATGGACGCCATCTGCCTCCTCGCTGGGTGAAGCCACCATGAGAACAGCACCCTCTGTTGACGGGCTGCAGTATTGGTTGTAAATCCCGCCTTCTCCAGCAATCCCTATGGAGCTGTGGACAAACTTTAGAAATTAACTACACAGATTATAACATTTTATCCCCCCTTTTTTGACAACAAACTTCCATAACTTTATTAGTAAGCTCAGACTGGAGGTGTCATTGATGCTGTTTGCAAATAAGGCAGAAGTGAAGGTTAACACAGCTCTCCTGTTAAAGTAGTGTAAGAGTAACGACAAATGCAAAACTAAAAACCACATTCCCAGCTGACATTGTAATTGGAGCATGGTCCAGACTGCCTTTTAAGTGTCTTGGGATAACGCTTGTTGTGAATAGTCGTTTTATAAATAAAGATTAAAATCTTTGTTTTGATAATGAATGTCAAAAAGTACCACCCCTTATATTAAATAAAAATTAAAAGTCAATATTTGTTAAAAAAAAAAGTAAAATGGTGACACACCAGTAAAGGACATATTCAATCCATCATACAGGTACTTGTTAAGCAAATGTACATAGACTGTATATAGAATGGACGTCGTCTGCCTCCTTGCTGGGTGAAGCCACCGCGAGAACAGCACCCTCTGTTGACGGGCTGCAGTATTGGTTGTAAATCCCGCCTTCTCCAGCAATCCCTATGGAGCTGTGGACAAACTTTAGAAATTAACTACACAGATTATAACATTTTATCCCCCCTGGTTTCGATGTTGACATGTACGTAGTTATTGTAAGTCTGGTTTGTACTCAAGTCCTCTTTTTTCTGTGCAGCTCCATTTTTAAAAGTTATTAGGGGGTTCATGTTTTCTATGATTGACACTTGATACAGCCTATGGAAGATTGCGTAGCTCACCCAGGGGATACGCTGTTTGAGCCACTGGCATCACAGCGACTCTTGGCGACTCTCCCGTACAATGCGTACAATGCTACTTCGCAAGTGGTGGTCCCAGGAAGTGGAGAAAATCCCAGAAAAACCAAGAGCAATTTGGCTTCAAATTCGTATAATGACGGATGGCGGAATCAAGTTGTCCATAGTATACACAGCCTATGGTATAGACTGAAACTAAACTATCTAAAGCACTAACACATGAGTGAAAGTTTTTAAAACTTGTCTTTAATTGTCCAGACGCAAGAACCACGATTCTCTGAACATGAAAAACTCACTTTGAACCATGAAGTCCCTGCGAAGAGTTTTTGACCTTTATGAAAAGCACTGACATATCAAACGACAAGCATGTGATTCAAAAAGGAAGTATAATACTAATAACAATAACTAGATAGTATTATTAGTAATAACCTGTGATTGCTAACTACATCACAGTCACAGAAATGAAAGTGCCCATGAAACATATCAGAGTCAACATTGCTCCTTGGTTCTCTCTCTTATCAAACATCTTGGACAGACTGCATGAAAAAAAGTTGTTCAGAAAAAGAGAAGAGTGTTCCTGTTTTCAGTTCCTCAAACTAAGTGAATCGGATGGATGGTGGTTTTACCAGGAGCTGGCCCTAATCAGTGAACGAGTCCTCAGGGTAAATACAGGAAGAGCTGGGTCTGTTTCATTCTGAATAAACACACTCTCCAGTTCACACACGCAGACAGAGATGGAAAATCCCTACAGACACACTGCTGTGCAGATAAATGTTACACAATACACGCATCAGATGTTGAAGACAGACTATTTCATGCTGCATGGTGGTTGTTTTTGGTCCAATAAAGATTTATTCACAGTTTGAAGTTTGTATCCAGAGATTGTTAAAGGTGCATTACAAATACAAAATTATTAAAAGAATTAAGACAGAAAATTAATTTGCAAACCCTGGACCCTGGGATTTAATATCACACTGTTAACTGTCTCATGTTGACATTAAAACACACAGCAAATGAAGTCTTCAACAGTCATTTAACACATCATACTGATGTGGTATACATAAGGAATTCAAAACAAGAACTGGTAATGGAAGACATTTGAATGATAGAAAAAAAGAAAGAAATATGCCAGGGTGTCAGCTGGCCTACTGGTTTGGGTGTGTGCCATGTACAGATGCTGTGGTACTTGTTGCAGCAGTTACTGGTTTGACTCCGGGCCATGACTATTTGTTGCATGTCTTTCATCTCTACTCTGCACATTTCCTGTCTCTTTTCAGCTGTCCTATAAATAGAGACAGAAATGCCTAAAAATGACAACTCTGGGCATTTGTGTCACAACTTTGCCACAAACTAGCACATTAGATCAATAAGACGGCAGTAGAGGAATAACTTGGCTAATAAATATGTAATCAATAAGTAATAACAGGTAATAACTAAAGAATTTCTTAATGATATCGGAGCATTTATGGGGGTAATAATCACTGACATTTGGGGAATAAGACAAGAATGGGCATAAGTGTAATTTCAGTGATAATTACCCTAGAGATTATTTTAGTCAAATTGATGATTGTATTTGTTGATCTTGTTAGTATGAAAAAATTGCTCAAATGTGACTGAGAGTCTTTCTTAAAAGAGTGTTTTCAAAACCCGCAGCTTGTTTGTTTTGTTTTGACTCAATGTAAAATCACGTCTTTTGGATCTGGTAAGTAGAACAGTGAATGTCAGCTGGTAACACACATTAACATTGATTGTGTTGCTTTACTTTGAACATAACTACATATTGGAAACCTGTTCCCTCCTCAGTGGCTTTGTGGGTTTATAAAAACTGGATCATGAATGGACCATTGGATTTCTCAATAAAACCTAAGAAAGAAATAATGAGATGTAGATTTAACCTACAAACAGGTGAGTCATCTGCATAAAAAGAGATCTTATTATTATTTTTCTTCAACGCTGGAGCTCAGTGCTTCTTCAGACTGAACAGAAGTGGGCCAAGGTATCGTCTCTGAGGTACTTCAGACTTTTAATATTGTTCTCAGGAGTAAATCATATCACTAAGACCTTGTAATTGCTCAAATTTTACCTTAATCTTACCTACCTAAATGTTTTTGTCCAGGTCAGCTCAGCATCTCTAAAATGGCCTCCCTTTTGCTCATCTTGGTGCTTCTTTGATTTTTAACTGTAGTAAGGATATAAACACTTTTTTTCCTTCTTGTAGAGCACTGACAAATAAAAAGGGGAGCCTCTTTCAAACAGAAGATATTGAATGTTCTTTGTAGATTTGCGCTGGTTGCTGCTTTTGAAGAAAACTTATCTCAAATAATGATCTTTATCATCAGAAACATAGCTTAAATCTCTGTGCATGGGAGGAACGTTCCTCGATACCAACTTGCATAAAGCTTCTTGTTTTCCATTTCCCATCAACCGTCCTCCACCCTCTGTCTCACCCCTTCATCTTTCCTGTAAATCTTGTGGTTCTCACCCTGCAGACTCTTAGACTGTCAACAGATGTTTACTCACAAAGATTTCGGACAGTAAATCAGATTTTATGGGGACACTTTAGATTCTATGTTGCTGCTCTGGTCACAGTTTAGGACCATCCTAATTAAGTCAAATATACCTAAATCTATACTGTATGTATCTCACAACATGTGATGTTTACTTCTAGCATGTGTTGTTCTGTACTACTGTACTGTGGTGGACATTTCATTGAGGAAACATAAAACGTGTGTATGTTTGAGTGTTTCTGTTTGTGTGTTAAACTCTGTGTTTTTAATGCTCCCACTGGAGTTTTAAACCGATGGGATATAAACAGAGTGAACTATTCTCTTTTTATAGACGATGTTTATAGACACATACACACTCTTTGGAGGGTTACAGTATCTCTATTGCTGTAATAGACATTAAATGTTCCTTCGAAAACTGTTTTTACATTAATTAGTTTCCTCAGGGTGTTTCTGTATGTCTGTTTTGATTTTAGAGAATCTATAAATGACAGCACACGTTTCAGTATTTGTTAGCAAGCAAACTCCACATGTGCTACGTGGGTACAAACAGCAGCAGAGTCCAACTCTATTGATAACCTGCAGAATTGACTATTGTAACACTTTTCTTTCTAGTCTTCCTGAAAATAACATCTCCCAGCTTCAATTACAACAAAAATCAGCTGTAGAGAAGCTGATGAAGACCAGAAAGAGAGATCACATTACACTTCTTTTCAAAGTCTTTACATTGGCTTCCAGTATCTTTGAGAATTGATTACTTATTTCTCAAATTTGCTTTTACCATACGAGCCTCTGAGAGCCCTCAGGTCTTCAGGTAGTGGTCTTTCAATTGTGCCTGAGGAACATACAAAGACTCATGATGAGGCATCTCTTTATTGTTATGGTCCTCATCTGTGGATCAGCCCGCTTGAAAACGTGAGGGCTGCACATCTCAGTGTTTTTAGAAGCAGACTCAAGACCTACCTCCTGAGTTTAGCTTTCATTGATTTTTCTCATAGGTGAGTTGTTTTTAGTCTCTTTGCTAAAGAAATTAGGCAAAGTTAAAAAAAGATGTTTGGTGGCTAGTGCTATGGCTGGGACCCTATATGTACTGTTGATGAAGTTCGGTGCTGTTCTTAGCATTATTTGTGGCTATAGAGTGGCGTTTTGGTTGAGGTTGTGTATTGCTATTGTGCGGTTGTTACTGCAGTTAGTATGACTAGAAAAGCAAGCGACAAGCAGCAACATTCATCTCTCGAGGGGGTGTCTAACTTGGTGTTACGGTGTGTTTGACCATAAATTAATTTTATGCCGGAATATCCCTTCATTCTTAAAAGTAAGCTACTTCCTGTAAGTGAATTAAGGAACTAAATGGAAACAGAAGAATAGTCTGAACATATAGACAGTCAATTAATAACTCTTTGAACTCATAGTATTTCCATTTGATCCTTTTTAGCACAAAATCAATACGATTAAATTGATATTAATACTGGTATACAGTGACAGCCCCACTCGAAAGTTTGTTAGCAACAGATTACAGAGAGGTGTAAAGAAAATGACGCTCTTGTCTTGGTGCGTGAATTTAAAAGGTCATTGAGAGGTCCAGGTACTAACAGAATGAAAAGAGAGTAGGTGATCATTAAATCGATTCCTGCCTGGTGTTTGAAGACTAGCTTCTCAAGCTTCAACTGGAGCTCGGCTTAACTGCACATTATAAGATATCTATTTGTGGTCAGATGTTGTGAATAACGAGCTGGTCTGATGCTCTGAAGTTCTGTGTGTGCTGTCTATGACGAGGCACATTTCTTTATTTACAAATCATAAAAAATTGCTTATTCTGTTATTTAAAGATGAATATTTATACTGCTCTTAACTGGCATTTTAACTGCTTTTAGTGCCTAAGGGTTCGGTAAACATTCCCCAAACATTACAGGTAAAAAACATGAAAAAAACCCAAAAACAAACAGGACACTTTTGAAGGTCATTTAGATGTGTAATTTCTGCAGAGGATGAGTCCTTTCCTCTGTGATTTTGGCCTCAGTCATATCCCCTCCTGATTACAGTGAATAAAATGTCTGGAATACGTTCAGATATGATATAGTTTGTTGATCATGACAATCATATATCAGACTTAGACCTCGGCGCTCGGTTTCTGCACAGATTCAGTGTTCTCAGACAGCTGGAGCTTAAACAGCAGCTGTAATGAACTGGATGATGATAACAGTAATGATACGATTGATAAGAAGGTGAGAATGGATCATCAGAGAAACAACAAACACTTGATGTTACTGAGAGGACGTTCAAAGGAGCTCCGCTTTGTAAGACTCTTCATGATGGGATGATAATGATGACAGAGAGGAAGAGCAGGAGGATGACGGCGAAGACCATGACGTGGATAATGTAAATGGTTATTCGATTAATGGCAAGACTTGACACCTTCATTCACACAAATATCAGTGTTTTATTTGGTGCTTTAACCACTAAGCTTTTCTCTTTCTTTACATATTTACACCCACATCGAACATGCAGCACCTCCTCACTCACTATTTTTGTAATTGCAGTTGTAATCCAGACCAATCTGGGAGTTCATTTGCTGCCAAACATCTGCCTTTTTTTTTTTTATTCAAGCTGTGATTTATTTACTATCTGTGTGACACCACTTTTAATTAATAATGTAGATGACCTGTAGAGCACTTCTGGAGTTTGCAGCTCCTCCTGTATGAGTATGGATGCATTACAGAGATTAACCAGCTGCACAAATGACTGATACAGTCTTCAGAAGTGGACCAAGAATGTCTAAAGTGTCAGTAATGTTGCATGAAAAGATGCACTAAAACTCAAAATCCTGTACTGTAAACACCGCAGTGATGATGTCTAATTTGTTTTTCATTCAAGATTTTACAGATTAAATCATCCAAGTCTGATTCACTTTATTTCTGTTCAGAATGACGCAGACTGATTTGAAGGACCATGTTTATATTGTAAACCTTTTCTGTAAAAGAAGAATATGATCCTCTGTCTTTTGTGACCCAGAATTTAAATCTACTCTCCATTTAAGCAGGATTAACCCCAAGATCGCAGGCACACCGTTGAATAATTTATAATTTTTCATGTAGTTTTTATTGTTTTTTTCATTGAGTCTTGTTGTGTTTGTTGTTAATGATTTTGTTGTTCTTTGTTTTACATTGATTTTGTTTTTTTTGCTTTATATTGTTGTTGTTGTTTCCTCCATCAGTCCTGTCAGTGTGTGTTTCATTCCATGTTAAGCATATTATCCATTTTTCTAGCACTACTTAAAAGTTTAAAAGGTTTATATTTTCACATTTGCACACTGGCTTACATTATATATTGTTGTAGCTAAACAGAGTCTTTGATTGCTGAACACTTTCTGTGATAAAACATCACTGGGTTACTCTATTGGCTGAAGCGTTGTAGAAATGAAACACATAGATCAATCCAGTGGCGTAGACCTCTTCTTTTGATGAATTGTTTTATCAGTACTCTCAGTTCTCATGTAAATAGTGTAGCTCAGTCAATTGTCTATTATATTCTGTCAGCAGTCTGTAGTCTAAAGATGATGCTGGAGCCTTCATGGGGTGAAAGTCTATATGTTGATGCCATCTAGTGGTTACATTTGTTACTGCAGCTGAGGTCAAAATTACAGCTGAAGTCGTGTGCTGTTACGAACACGTCAACAATCTACTGTAACAACACAGCTAATAGAACATCAAAGATATGCTGAACTTTCAATATATTTGTTTATTTTTTTCTCGTTTAGTCACTGTACCTCCTCTTTGTATTTTGGTGAGAAGATAAGACAATAAGTAAGTGGAAAGGTTATTGTTTAATTTCGCTTCGTAAACTTTCGTAACCCCCCCCCTTTATTAGTAAAAGGACTAAGAGTCAGGACTGGATCCCTTTTTCTCTAATTATCCCTAAAAAAATACAGGCTGTGTCTCATTTCAGAGACCGCATCGACCTAAGTGCCCTTCTGCACCGTCGAACGGTGCATTTGAAGTGTGCATGACGTCACGACGGTGCGAACGGTGTCCCATTTGGCACGAGATGCTAAAAAATGCTAAGCGCGCTTAGCATGTTTTCAAGCGTGCATTTATGCACGCTTTCCTGCCGTCGGTATCCCAGAATGCTTTGCGTGCCGCTGCACAGCTGCGCATTTCAGGTGAGAGGCTGGACTCGCTTGGAGACACAGCGCGTCTTCAAAGAAAATACAAGAAATCCAAAAACCGCAGACAGTCATCTCAGGCTGTATGAGAGCATGATCTCTGAACTCACTAAAATCTGTAAACCAAACATCATAGATTTAGAGACGAACTGATCCGCTGTGTTACAACTATCAAAACATTAGAAATAAGAAAGCTGACAAAACTACAGCAGAGTATCAGGACAACATTGAGGTTTTTTTCTTTTAAGATTTAGAGATTAAAGTTGTAAACTTAGGAGAATAAAGTCATAAAGTAAATAAAGTCATAAAGCTGCTTTTGTGGAGGGGGAAATGACTGAAGTTGGTCATCTGCAGGGTTATCTGTGGATGTATCAGTGGGTCATTAAGAGAGATTTTGTGGTTTCTGAAGAAACAATCAAACTGATGATGATCAACATTTGTGATCCAGAGGGAGTCGAGCTCCGACGAGCACCATGTCTCTGACACCGGCCGTAGCCTACACCTGCAGAGACACCAACACCTTATTATGGCATATGGATTCATATCATAAATTAAAGCTCAATGTCATTCACGGATATTTACGGCTGCATTGACAGATATATCCTCAGCATATTCATTTATGCCTCCACAAAAGCAGCGATTTCCTTCAAGTACACCAGTTTTTTTCCCCGTGGAAAAGACGTATTTCTCATATATTCTTTTTTTTAAAGTCTTTATACTTATGACAATGTGATGCTGATGTGCCAGAGGATGAAGTATCTCCTATCCTCCTTCTCAATAGGGCCCTCATACTCCTTCATACAAAACAATCATTGGATGAATTTTGTGGGAATGATCTGGGCTTGTATGTATCTACTATTTTGTGTCTGTGCAAGGTCGCACAATTAAAACAATACATGCTGCGCTCCGCAGCTTTTTTTCTAATCAGTCGTGACGTAAGCCTGAGGGCGGGGACATTTGGAGACCTTCGGAGGGCTTCCTGGTGGAGTTGCCAAATGTCCCCGCCCTCAGGCTCGCGTCACGACTGACTTAAAGGAAACCCGCGGAGCGCAGCATTTATTGTTTTAATTGTGCGACCTTGCACAGACACAAAATAGTAGATATATACAAGCACAATTCATCCAATGATTGTTTTGTAAGAAGGAGTATGAGGGCCATATTGAGATTTAAGACTTTAAGGACTTCGAGATTTAAGTCGTGAATTTACGAGAATAAAGTCATTAATTTATGAGAATGAAGTCATAACCTGTTATTTCAGAGAGACTTGTTAAAATTAGGGCCATGAAGCATTTGAAGGAACTGTGCTTCAGTATAGGTTTCACAAACAAGGAGATACTTCATCCTCTGGCACATCAGCATAACATTGTCATAAGTATAAAGACTTTAAAAAGAATATATGAGAAATACGTCTTTTCCACGGGGGAAAAATATTGGTGTACTTGAAGGAAATCGCTGCTTTTGTGGGGGCATAAATGAATATGCTGAGGATATATCTGTCAATGCAGCCGTAAATATCCGTGAATGACATTGAGCTTTAGTTTATGATATGAATCCATATGCAGTAATAAGGTGTTGGTGTCTCTGCAGGTGTAGGCTACCGCCGGTGTCAGAGACGTGGTGCTCGTCGGAGCTCGACTCCCTCTGGATCACAAATGTTGATCATCATCAGTTTGATTGTTTCTTCAGAAACCACAAAATCTCTCTTAATGACCCACTGATACATCCACAGATAACCCTGCAGATGACCAACTTCAGTCATTTCCCCCTCCACAAAAGCAGCTTTATGACTTTATTTACTTTATGAGTTTATTCTCCTAAATTTACAACTTTAATCTCTAAATCTTAAAAAAAAAAAAAAAACCTCAATGTTGTCCTGATACTCTGCTGTAGTTTTGTCAGCTTTCTCATTTCTAATGTTTTTTGATAGTTGTAACACAGCGGATCAGTTCGTCTCTAAATCTCTAATGTTTGGTTTACAGATTTTAGTGAGTTCAGAGATCATGCTCTCATACAGCCTGAGCTGACTGTCTACTGGTTTTGGATTTCTTGTATTTTCTTTGAAGACGCGCTGTGTCTCCAAGCGAGTCCAGCCTCTCACCTGAAATGCACAGCTGTGCAGCGGCACGCAAAGAATTCTGGGATACCGACGGCACGAAAGCGTGCATACATGCACGCTTGAAAAAGAGGCGGGGGTAGTGTGGTTTTGAGACCGAATTTGAAGCGCAATTAGTATTTTGTGCCAAACGGGACACCGTTCGTGCCGCGTGGTGACCTCACGTACGCGTCAGATGCGCCGTTCGATGGCTGCTGTATCTGAAATGGGACACAGGAAGGGCACAGAACGGCGCAAAACGGCGTAAAACGGCTCAAAACGGCAGTGCACTCAGCTAAGCGCCGTTAAGCGCGCTTATCACGATGCGGTCTCTGAAATGAGACACAGCCTAAGACTTCACTGTGTTTCTCGTGTCGGCCTGCAGGAGGCGCCGGCGTTCAAACTCAGTCACACTGAGCGGAACGTTAAGTTTCCCTTTTGTTTCCACTCGGATTGCTACGAATAGACGCTACCGTAAACTTCCGGGTCGTGGTTAGTACACACATGTGAGCAGTGAGAAGAAGGATCTGTGGGTGATCACACAGGTATGTTGCTGTTTTTCAGGATTTAAATGATCCAGACTTTAAAGAGAGGGGCTTTGACTCGTGTTAGGTTCACTGCTGCTGCCTCAGGTAGAGAGACAGCTGAGGGTTTCAGCTCATGGCGGAGCAGCACTGACCACACAGGGGGTTATAGCTGCTATATTCAACATTTTTGATTTTAATCGTTGACTGGGGCAGCTATCAGCATTTAAATGTAGAATTAAAAATAACCTTTAACAATTGAGCGAATAAAAAAGGATCAGGACAACATCTGGTAGAGTTTATCATGATACAGTATGGTACAGTCAGATTAAATATGCGAGAGATAATACATTTATGTGTAAATTAGGGCTAGGCGATATGGGAAAAAGTTTATCCCGGTATATTTTTTAATATCAGTTGATATCGATATATATATCAAGATACAAAAGTGAAAATTAACAGTGCTTATTGGGAGCATGTCTTTTGCAATACAACAAGCTACTGCATCTGGATATCTCTTCAACATTTTGTCGTAAGGCGTAGCGCTGTTAAAATGCAATGGTTGCGTGTAGTTGCAGCCTGTTACTACGCGAATTAGCTACTTAGTGATAATTCAGCACATGATTGGTTCAGCGCGAAGTAGACCTGGAGAAACTCCCCTTCTCATTGGCTCTTCATTAGCGGTGGGAGAAAATTTTTTACGTTCAAAAGTTGATCTTTTTTCTTAAATGTAAGAATGACTTTAAAAAACTGACTTACATGTCGTGTGTATTTTTTGTTGAAATATGGTTCCTGGAATAGTCAGTAGACAAAAAATCCCAGAAGCTAAATTTTCAACTTTGGCCTCTGTGGAAAAAGACTTTGTTAAACGTGTCTGTGTTTTAGTTTCCAGGATGGATGGGAAAGTAAAGGAACAGAAGCGACATCAAAAGAAGCACAGCGGGCCGAAAGCAGAGAAGAAGAAGCTCAGGAAGCAAGGAGGCACCACAGAAGAAGATGAGCGCAAACGAAACCCCAAAGCGTTTGCGGTTCAGTCCGCTGTGCGGATGGCCAGAACCTTCCACAGGTCAGAGGTCACAGATGCCTGTCTCTATAATCTGTACTGAGACTGTTAACCGAAAACGTCTCAACATTTACTCTTCACTGAATTCTATTTAGGTCCCAGGACATTAAGGCAAAGAAACATCACATCCCCCTGGTGGACAGGACTCCTCTTGAACCCCCTCCCATTGTCATTGTTGTAGTCGGGCCCCCTAAGGTGGGAAAGAGCACCCTGATCCGCTGCCTGATCAAAAACTTCACCCGACAGAAGCTGGGAGAGATCAAGGGACCTGTGACCATTGTTGCAGGTGAGCCTAAAACCTGCACTCACATGGGGCCCCTCCAGAATGAATTTTATCTTCTGTCTGTTTATGTTTTTAACTTGTCTGTTTCTGCTGAGCTGATCTCCCCTCTTAAGGTGTCCTGTCATTTTTGAAGTGTTGAAGTGTTTTTGAAGTCATTGTTTCTGCATTTCCAGGTAAAAAGCGTCGCCTGACTTTTATGGAGTGTAACAACGACATCAACACGATGATCGACCTGGCCAAAGTGGCCGACCTGGTGAGAAGACAAAAACATTTTAAACAATGAAAATAAGTTAATTTACAAACCAATTCGATTATCTTAGACAGCTAAACATGCTTCAAACAAATCTAAGAAACATACTTTTTCCCCTCTTCAGGTTTTGATGCTGATTGATGCCAGTTTTGGCTTTGAGATGGAGACGTTTGAGTTCCTGAACATCTGTCAGGTGCACGGTTTCCCTCGTATCATGGGCGTGCTGACTCACCTGGACTCCTTCAAGAACAACAAGACTCTGAGGAAGACCAAGAAGAACCTAAAGCACCGCTTCTGGACTGAGGTCTACCAGGTAAACACACCCTCATCAACTGACCTGAGGCAGAAAGGTTGAGTGAACACAGGAAGCTCATGAGCAGATTTGTGGTACATTTTATCTCTTCATGGAGCTTTGGACTTAAAGCCAGCTAACTCAAAACAAACCTGTCAGCTTTCATGGATTAACCCCCTGAGCTCTGTGTCTGTTTGACCCTGTGATCACAGCCTGTGTGTTTACCTGTGTCGACCTGCAGGGGGCGAAGCTCTTCTACCTGTCAGGTATGGTGTACGGAGAGTATCAGACTCAGGAGGTGAAGAATCTTGGCAGGTTCATCTCAGTCATGAAGTTTCGTCCTCTGGTGTGGCAGACGTCTCATTCTTACGTGCTGGCTGATCGGTGAGTGAGGACTATGGGTGATGTGTGACAAAGTTTAGGAGAAGGAGAAAGCAGGAGGAGAGGGGAGAGGAGCGGAGAAGCAGGAGGAGGAAAGAGGAGCAGGAGGAGAGTGGAGACTAGGGAGAGGAGGAGAGGGGAGAGCAGGAGGAGGGCAGTAAGAGGAGGAGAGAGGAGAGCAGGGAGAGAAGCAGGAGGAGGAGGAAGAGGAACAGGAGGAGAAAGAGCAGGGACAGAAGCAGGAGGAAAGAGGAAAGCAGGAAAAGGAGAGCAGGGAGAGAAGCAGAAGAAGGAAGAGGAGAAGGAGGAGAAAGGAGAGTAGGGAGAGGAGCAGGAAAAGAGAGGAAAGCAGAAAGAGGAGGAGAGCAGGTGGAGGAGCAGGAGGAGAGAGGAAGGCAGAAAGAGGAGGAGAAAGGAGAGCATGGAGAGGAGCAGAAGGAGAGAGGAGAGCAGGGAGAGGAGACCAGGAAGAGAAGTAGGAGGAGGAGAGAGGGCAGCAGGGAGAGGAGATGGTAAGAGGAGAAGCAAACAGGGAGAGGAGCAGGGGAAGATAAGAGGAGAGCAGGGAGAGAAGCAGGAGGAGAAGAAAGTAGGAGTGAGGGGAGCAGGGAGAAGGTAAGAGGAGAGCAGAGAGACGAGCAGGGGAAGAAGCAGGAGGAGGAGAGAGAGGAGCAGGAGAAGTGAGGAGAGCAGGAGGAGAGAGGAGACCAGGAAGAGGAGCAGGGGGAGAGGGGAGGGCAGGGAGAGGAGCGGGAGTGTGTATCTCTGTGTCTGAAAAGCTTAAGGACAGAGTTAGCATGAGTGTTTTTGAGAGTAAATGAGGCTCAAGAGAAACCAAATCATACTAAAATGTGAGTCCTGTTTCTTAATTTCCCAAAAATGGAGGCTTACAAGGAACAAATGAAATGTTGGATCTGCTGCCTGTGGCTAACTATAAAAGGTAGAAGAGTGACGAGTAGTTTAAGAACTTTAAAGCTCTGTAAATAAACGTGTTGCAGATATTAAATTATGACAAAAAGGTCTTTTAAACAGAAATGAGAACTCTCAGTGGTTATTTTTGTCATACAGCAGAGAAGCATGAGTCAAAAGTGACAGCCCTCTCTTGTAACTGATATTTTATCCCAGCATTCTCACAAACTGAACACCACAGCTTTATTTTACCTGCTCTTTCTCCGCTCTCTCAGTATGGAGGACCTGACTGACCCTGAGAAGGTGAGGACTGACCCAAAGTGTGACCGCACAGTTTCACTCTACGGCTACCTGAGAGGGACATATCTGAAGAATAAAGGCCAGGTCCACATCCCAGGTGAGGGATATATCCTATCTGTCCTAAAAAAGCTTGTTTAACATCTCTGCATACATGAGCACTCACAGGTGATGTTTCTTTGCAGGTGTGGGAGACTTCCAGGTGGCAGACGTGAACTTCCTTCCTGACCCGTGTCCACTGCCCGATGCTCAGAAGAAGAGAGCGCTGAATGAGAAGGAGCGCCTGCTCTACGCTCCCATGGCGGGGGTTGGAGGGGTTGTTTATGACAAGGACGCTGTTTATATCGACCTTCCCGCTAACCACGTCAACCAGCAGCAGGTGCGTGGGTAACAACTGAATAATCTTTATGGGTTTATTTTCATTCAGGTGTAAAAGTGTCTGAATATGTGCCACAGATTTCTTCATCCTGCAGCAGGTAAACTGGCTGTACTGCTGCAACATGATCCTTAATGGATCAGACTGTGACTTTGAGAATCTGAGAACATTACATAGAAAGTTCCTCCAGAGACAGACCTTTTCAGTTAGGAGGAAGATGATTTTTGAGCCAGAAACAGCTGTTTGCAACACTCTACCGTGACTGTGAGAAGTCATTACACTTGATTTTAGCTGCTTAACTAAAAGCAGACACTTAATCCTGTAAATCTTCCTTATTATTTTGTCCAAGACTTAAAATTGAAGTAGACTGATAATCGGCTTTGACCAATAAAAGGGGCCAATATTCAGCATTTAGCTGATTTTATGAACATTTGTCATGATTTTCTAAGAGACCATGTCGGCAAATAGGCTTGTCAAAATTTGGCCTCTGACGCAGATGTGATTCCATTAGGTTTTTGTGACACATACATATAATAAAAATGTGTTGATTAATCAATGACTGTGTGAAGGATAGATAGGATTGTGATAAGCCTTTCTGGGTCATGAAATTATTCAGATGGACCTGACGATGGACCTCATCAAAAAGCCGTCGGACAACTTCAGGTCCAGATTTGAGGACTACTCCATCCCAAAAAATATCAGACTTTGTCCGCAATCCAAGGCACTTCCTTTTTAAAATGTGCTTAATACATAGATGAGGTCACATTTCAGATGCAGTTCATTGATTTTCAAACATGCGCCCCTGGTCAGTGATGCGCTCCAAAGTGCAGGGTCTGTGAGCACTTTTTGGGTAGCAGGCTCTGAAGAGTACAGCACAATCGAAGCACTGGCAATTTTATGCGCTCACAACGTTCTCCTCCACGTACACATGCGAATCGAGCTTCTCTGTTATTCGCCTGATTAAGACCTAAGAGAGGAACCGCCTGGAGAACTGCCCTCAGGTTAGAGTGACAAACATATCCCCAGACATTCAACAAGTTGTAGCTGAGGAGAAATGCCAGTTTTCAGTGTTCATCACTTTTTCCTAAATTCTAAGAAACTAAAGCATTTTTTTTATACAAGAGGACGCTGCCTTTGTTTCAGCAGTGAGCACTGTCCGCTGTCTGCAGCCCTGCTCATACCTTGTTCTACGGCGTAATTGTTTGACTTCACCAATGACAGCTGTTGTTACGAAAAATATATGAATCAAATTCATTGTCAAATCGATTTCATGGGTAAGATTTTATGTTTGGTGGGCCTGATGTAGAAGGTGTTGGGTTCAAAATTTCACCCTTTTGTTTCTTCTCACTCAGATTGTTCATCTTCTCTCTACCTGCTTTTTAAGTGCATCCTTGTGTCATGTTTCCTGCAGGAGGAGGGGCGTCCCACCACAGAGCTGGTTCAGTCTCTTATTGACACTCAAGCCACTCTGGATGCAAAGATGGCCGCCAGTAAAGTGTCGCTATTCAGTGGCTCGACGATGCTGGACTCTGCAGAGATGGAGGAGGAGGAGGAGGGAGGAAGAGGAAGAGGAGGAGAGCGGGTGAGACACAACAGACACCCTGATTTTATTTAATGCTCTTTATGGAGGGAAATATCAACAACTCACTCACGCTGTGTGTGTGTGTGTGTGTGTTAGAGAGGGGGCTGGCATTCAGGAGAGTCGCGTGCTCGACCCGAACACCCAGAGAGAGAGGAGGAAGGTGATCTTTACCAAGGAGGACATGATGAGGATGATGATGGAGATGACGATGATGATGATGAGGAGGAGGAGGAGGGGGAGGGTGACAGTGATGAGGAGGAAGATGAAGATGAAAATAACCTGTCCATGTTCCTGAAGAAGACGAGAGCTGAGTCCGCTCCTCCGCTGAAGAAACAGAAACTTGGGGAGGTGAAGGAGGGCGAGAAGGAGGGGGCGGAGGTGCCGGCGTTCGCTGACAGTGAGGACGAGCTGGAACGGAGCGAGGAAGAGGACGAGAGCGATGAAGAGGAGGCGACTGGGAGAGCAGGGGACTCTGGACACTGCTCTGAAGAAGAAGAGGAGGAAGGGGAGGAGGAGAGTGAGGATGAAGAGGATGAGTCAGGGGAGGAGAAGGAAATGGAGAGTGAAGAGGAAGAAGAGGAAGAGGAGCAGGGTAACAAAATCCGTTATCACATTTTAACTCTGTGTTTGTAGATAAGAGTCATAATCCCAATCAGCTTCATGAATTCATTGAATTCTCTTGTTTTGACCTCAGGGGCTCTCAGGTGGAAAGAGGATCTGCAGCAGAAAGCATCACAGGCGTTTCTACGGCAACAAGAAGCTGCTCCCAACTTAAGGAAACTGGTTTATGGGACAGGTAAGAGAGACTCTGACTTTATCTGCACATAAAAAAGGATGTTTGTGAATATTTTACAACTATTTATTTTTCTACCTTTCAAATATTTCTGAAAATCATCATATCCTGTTTTTATCAACATTTTACATCAGGTCCCAACTCTAATAAGATACAGAATTTTACTACAAGCAGTGAGCTATAAACACTTATTTACCTTCTTTTACTCTTCGAAATAGTTTTTAATTTTGTTTAAACCTGAGAAGTTTTTTATTCAATCACAGACTGTCATATACTTGATAGTGTGCTTTCTGCACCTGTTTTTGACACACAACACTTCTTTACCAGCAAGTGACATTTTATAGAAAATATCGCTGTGTTTTCAGACTGATATAGCACAGCTGTGTGTGTCCGTGTGTTCTGACAGTCAGTATTTGTGTTTTTAGTGGTAGAGGCAGATAAAAGTGACGAAGAGGAAGAGGAGTTGGGGGGTCTGTTCAGAGTCAACCGTCCTCAGACGAGTAAAAAGTTCACAGCCGATGCTCTCGACTGTTCACGCTTCAAACCTGATACGTCACATGACTGGGACCTGGAGGAGGTACACACACACACACACACACACACACACACACACACACACACACACACACACACACTTTGCATCATTATGTTTGAATAAGGCTCACAGGTGTCTGTGGTTTGATCCTGCAGATGTTGAACTCCATCAGAGACTGTTTCGTGACAGGGAAGTGGGAGGAAGGTCAGGATGCTGCAACTCTGCTCAAAGAAGACGGTGAGAGAGGAGGGTCAAAAACTCACACTGACATTAAACACTCTGAGTAACACAGTGAATAATTCTGCAGAGTGTGAACTCTCAGTATCAGTAACAGTACCTGTTGTCTCTCACAGTGGATCTAACATTCTGGTTATGTGTTTTTTGGTGTGTGTTTAGAGGAGCTCTATGGGGACTTTGAGGATCTGGAAACAGGGGAAGTCCACAGAGGACAGGATCAGGATCAGGTGAGTCCAGTCTCAGTTGTGCAGAGTTTAAACGGACAAGGATGGACTTTTTTTGAAGAGGTTTAGTCCGTCTAACTAGTTTATGAAGCAGACTGAAAAACAACCAAAGTGCTGCAGGTCATCAGGGGTGTGATCCTTCCAGCTGGAAAAACACCTTACAGGATAAAGGTTTCACATCTTCCATCAAGACAGTTGTGAATTTTGAGTTTTCCCGTCCTGGAGATGATGTTAGTCTTGTCTAACCTTGCAGAAAAGTGAGGATGAAGATGATGATGATGATGAGGAGGAGGAGGAAGATGCTGCAGATGGTTTGATGAAGGTAGATGAGGAGGCAGCTCAGAAGAAGAAGCGTCTTGAGAAGAAGCGGCGCCTGAAGGAACGGTTCGACGCCGAGTACGATGACGGGGAGGCCACGTACTTTGACGACCTGAAGGAGGAGATGCAGAAACAGGCGGAGGTGAATGTTTGTCCCGTTATAACATCTATTTTCTTCATGTCTAAGGAGAACATGCTTACTCCTCAGTTATCGTTTTTCTAATGAGAGGCTTGTTTGTGCAGCTGAACAGGGCGGAGTTTGAGGACGTGGACGATGAGACCAGAGTTCAGTATGAAGGGTTCAGACCAGGGATGTACATCAGGATAGAGATCCCCTCCCTGCCCTGTGAGTTTGTCTTGAACTTTGACCCCCAGTATCCCATCATTCTCGGCGGCCTGGGCTCCAGTGAGGGCAACGTGGGATACCTGCAGGTGTGTGGCACCGGTTTAACCGAGTTTATCAATCTGAAGGCTGATTGTATTTTCATGTGTAGAGTTTGGATAGAAACAGGTTAGATTAGAATTGTGCTGAAGTTTTTCCTAAACCTCCTGGTTATAACAACATTTGTAGATATCTGTTAAAATTATGTACACCCCTCCCCCTCTGTTTAGAGAAAAATTGTGTCTTTAATTGAATTTAATTTTAACTTTTATTCTTTTACAATGATGCACAAAGTTTTTATGATCTGACTTGTGCTCAGATTAATATGAATATATGAATAGCCATATATGCTATCAACCAATGTGTACCAACAATAAATAAACAAATGATTAGTATATTTTTTAGTATTAATAAATTCACAAGTATCTTAAATCATCATTATGGTCATGTGTTGAGAGACAGCGCATCCTGCTGCCCTGAGGTGGAGAGAAGAGAGAGAAAGGTTTATATTTAGTGTCTAAGGCTGTGGAACTGTCTTATCGTTTAATTGTATATATTTTATTTGTTATTATAGAGAGAAAAGATTAAATAAAACAAGATGAGACAAGAGGGACATTTAAAACATCCAGTATTCAACACATAAAATGATCTGCTGGTCTATATTTACAAGTTAGGCTTGTGCAAAAACAACATTTTGACTTCAGCATGTCTGATAATATTAACCGTGTTTAAACTTTAATAAAAACTAAAACAAGGTGTGTATAAAAATAAGATTGAACCTTTATTTATTAAACGATATAAACTGAATTTCAATGAAGTCTCAGTACAAAAATTCAAGTTTGGTGCTTGTAAAAGAAAAAGAGACACTTGTAAAATGACAGTAATGCTTGTTTCTTAAAAACAACTCCTCCTCCTTCCTCCGACAAGCTCTTTTATTGTTCATTCCCCTCTTTCTGCCAGTATGAGAGTCACCTTTTTACTGGGCTTTTTTTTTATTTTATTCAGAGAAGATTTCAGAGTATTTCTGCTGCTTTTGTGGCGCAAACTTGAAGGCATCCAGGTCCTGTTTTCTCTCTTCAGCTGGGTCCATGTGACATGTTGGAAAAATCAGGGGCTTCACTGAGCCGTTCTCCTGCCCATGCATGAGTAACTGTACCATGTCTGAGTGTGCTAGGTCAGAGGAAGTGAACCATGTTGGTAGCATGGATGAAATAAACTTTACCATCGTTGTTGTCTTGTGTTTGTCTCAGATGCGTATAAAGAAACACCGCTGGTACAGTCGGATCCTGAAGACCAGAGACCCCCTCATTCTGTCTTTGGGGTGGAGGCGGTTTCAGACCCTCCCCCTGTACCACATTGAGGACCACAACGGACGCCACCGCCTGCTCAAGTACACACCGCAGCACATGCACTGTGGAGCCTCCATCTGGGGTCAGACACACACTTCATACACACTGAGTCAGACCTTTAGAGGTTCACTACATTGAAAAAGGGTTTAAGTTGTTTACTGGCTCTGCTGTGTGATTGTAAAATACTCTTAAATCAGGTTTTATTTGTTTATTTTTGGGCTTATTTAAAAGGAGATCTTCCTCTTTCAGTGCAGTCATGCTATGTATTATGATCAGATCTCTGTCATGATAATATAACTAATAACCTCTCTGGTCTCTCTGCAGGTCCGGTCACTCCTCAGGGTACAGGCTTCCTGGCTGTTCAGTCAGTCTCTGAAACTAAAGTAAGTCTGATATTTACTGAATTCACAGATCAGAGCAGTACTTAGGAGGCATGGACGAAAACAGAAAGAATTGCTTTATCCTGCGAAAAACTTTTTGGTTCAGTTTATTTCCTCCATTTGATCACAGACTCAGAAAATCAGGTTGTAGCTTTTGATCTGCCTGAATATGAATGCCTTTGCCTTCATTAAGACTGATTATGAAGAGCAGTCAGCCAATGATAGTATGAGAGCTGCCTGTAGCACTAACTTTGCTCACTGTTACGGCCTCTAAATAATTCATTTGAATTACCAAGAAAAAAAAATATGGCTCACAAAACAGACCAGTAACATATGCAAAAGGACACAGACCGAGACCCTCAGTAGATCGTATGACAGCAGTTAGATTTGGTTTAGTTGTTAGTAGTTCTTGGTGATATTATAATTACTAAGATGTTTCTGTTTTTGTCCTTTCAGACCAGTAATTTCCGTATCGCAGCGACAGGAGTGGTGTTGGATTTAGATAAATCTGTGACCATCGTGAAGAAGCTCAAACTGATCGGTTACCCCTACAAGATCTTTAAAAACACCTCCTTCATCAAGGTGAGTTGGGATCTTTGTCTCTCATTTATCACCAGGCTGTCCTATATTTATGTCCACAGCTTCTCCCTCTATGAGAGGAAGCTCAGTCACAGTGAAGCCTAAGATTATTTCATGTTTGTCTTTTCTGACCAAGACTCAAAGTTTGAAGTTGTTTTGAAGGATTTTGTTGAAAGACAGCACAGTCTTAACAGTATATTTGAGTATTTAGGCACATTTTCCAACTACAAGCTCTATAAATGTGAATGCTGATTGGAATTAAGCATATCAGCTAAAACGTTTTTTCCAGAATCTGTGAGGTCTTCATGTTGGATTAAACTGAACAACATCAACATCATGTCATTTCCACTGAGCTCTCTCTCTCTCTGTCTGTTTATAGGGCATGTTTAACACGGTCCTGGAGGTGGCGAAGTTTGAAGGAGCTTCTGTACGAACGGTGTCAGGGGTCAGAGGTCAGATCAAGAAAGCTCTGTCCTCACCTGCAGGAGCCTACAGAGCTACGTTTGAGGACCGCCTGCTCATGAGCGGTGTGTGTTTGCTCTGCTCTCTCTGTTGTCTTCATCATTGTGTGTTGTGATCAGTAAAATCACATCAACAGCGCTGTGTTTCTTCTCTGCTGTCTTATCTCTGGATTAACGTGTTTCCCTCTCTGTGTGTTCAGACATAGTGTTCCTGCGCTCCTGGTTCCCGGTCTCTGTCCCTCAGCTGTATAACCCTGTCACCTCTCTGCTGCTTCCTGTGGGGCAGAAGGACAGCTGGGCTGGCATGAGGACGCTCGGACAGCTCAAACACGAGCTCGGCATCCGGAACAAACCCAACACAGACTCACTGTACAAGGTGAACAGCTGAAATGACAGACAGTTTCACACTGATGATGGAAACTTGAATTGATGTTAAAAGACGACTCCTGAAGAAATCACCTTAAAATTGAAACTTTTTCTCAACTATCATCAGCAAAGAAAGTTGTTCTGTTGCTGAGCTGACTTGCGGCCGAAGCCTCTTTAAAGGTAAAGTCTTTCATTCAACATTTATCCTGACTCAGTATCTCCTTGCCTTTCAGCCGGTGGTCCGAGGTAAGAGGCGTTTTAACCCCCTCCACATCCCCAAAGAGCTGCAGAAGTCCCTCCCCTTTAAGAGTAAACCCAAACAGCAACAGCCTAAAGGGAAGGTTTCACGAGACCTGCAGAGACCCACAGTGATCCGAGAACCGCACGAGAGGAAGGTGAGTGTTGAACGAAGCAAACTTGATGGAGATTAAGCGTGCATGGGTGCTAAACATTCACACAAGTAAAGGTTTCTACTTATAATGACAAAAAAAGAGAAGAACAGTGTTTTCAGTGTTGTCTTTCTCGTCTCGTCCTGCAGGTGGCAGCGCTGCTCCAAGCTCTGGGCACAATCAGCAATCACAAGAGACAGAAAACATACACAGTGCAGCACGCCAAACACAAGGAGTTCCTGCAGCAGAAGGAGAAACAGGAGGAGGCCAAGCTGAAGAGACAGAAGGAGGCACGCAAAAAACTGTACCGTGTCATGGGCCAGATGGACAAGAAGAAGCAGAGGTCCAGTCTGAAGGGGGCGACGCAGGACGACTAAGTCCTCGATTTAGACTGTATGCAGGTTTATCCTGTTGATGATGAGGACTCAGGACTCAGCAATCTGAGATGATCTGTGGACTGTCAGTGTGTCACTGATTTAAAGGAGTATTCTGATGAATTTTTCTACGTGTGTGAATTTTGAAAACCAGCTGTAGAGAAAAGCTCTATCACTGCTTGAAGTTGTTTTAATAAAACACAATAATGACACAGGAGTCTGTTGTTTCTGGATCAAGTTTTCACATTAGTTTCCTCCTACATTTGTGGATACGGGGACAAATTGTGTTCAAAGACACTGGTTTTTGGGATGTGAGTTTGAACCCATGCAGTGATTTAAACTGATGAGCCATGTCTGTTTTTCATGTAGTGCCGCCTGAGGGTTATATTGAGAGCATACATTTTTTATAAAACGATAACATCAAGCAGTTTGAAAATTGTAAATATTTTTGCACTATTTTTGATTAATTATAGTGTTTTGTGTGCAAATCATTAAAATGAGTATTCAGTCAACATTTATTCAGGATCTCTGCTCTACAAATGAGGATATGGGTCATTTAAATGTCTGTATTTCTTTTTACTGATTTTCCCCCCAGAATTCTGATATTACAGCCAGAAATCTCAGAAAAAGTCTGAATTCTTACTTAAGCCTCAGAATGGGATTAATGTTATGATTCTGACTGTAATACAAGAGTTCTGACTTTGATACCATTTTTCTGAGATTGCGGTTGGAAATCTGACCTCATCTCAGATTTCTGAGAGAAGAAAAAAGTCAGAATTGGAAGATAAATATCACGATTATGATTTTAAAGAAGAATTCTGTCTTTAATCCAAGATATCTGATATAAGAGTAAGGATTCTGATGTAACACACAAATCTGACCTTTTTTTAATCTTAAAAGTCCAGGATTTAAGTCCTTAAAGGGATATTCCAACGTAAAATTAATTCAGGGTCAAACACACTGTAACACCGAGTTAGACACTCCGTCAAGAGATGAATGTTGCTGGCTGCTTGCTTCTCTAGTTATACCAACTTCAGTAACAACCGAACAATAGCAATACACAGTGGTATGAGGAGCCATAGACAAACCTCAACCAAAACGCCACTCTATAGCCACAAATAATGCTCAGAACAGCACCTAACTTCACCAACAGTACTATGGGGTCCCAGTCATAGTACTAGCCACCAAACATCTTTTTAACTTTGCCTGATTTCTTTAGCAAATAGACGAAACACGACTCACCTGCTCTCTTCCAGCAGTCGCTTGTTTGTAGCCAAACCTCAAACCAGTCCGTTATGGACTGCAGAGGGGTGACACAGCTCAAGGAAGAACATTTATGATCATTTTAGAAAATAGGTGAAACCATATCGGTAACCAACAGCTAATCACACAATTATGTTGAATTGTCCATGGTTTCTATGTTTTTAATGGATTACTAATGAAATGTAAAGTTTTGTTGCCGTTTGGTTAGGTAAAGCGGAGATTTGTCGTGTGCTTTTATTGTGAAGGGCCCTGGGCGGAAGTGTGTGTTGGTGCTGGGGGGTCAGAGGAGGACTGAGAGTGTCATCAGCCGGCTAGTAGTAAAGCATTGAAGTTCTAGCAGCGGTGTTTTACAGAGGGATTCAGCGGACAGTGGGACTGTGTTTAAGGCTGGCTCTGAACCACATGGGGCCCACAAACCTCCTCCACCAGAGCCCCAAAAGAGCGGGTAAATAATGCTAACTATGCTAACTCTCTTCAACTGCCTCTAGCTTTAGCCGTCAGCCAGCGCTTGCATCATGGAGTGTGTGTGTGTGTGTGTGTGTGTGTGTGTGTGTGTGTGTGTGTGCGTGTGTGTGCGTGCGCGCGCGCTTGCGTGTATGTGTGTTCCCTGGCTGAACCCTGTGCTGCCCAGTTGTCCACTTGTCATACCACGTGTGTGTGTATGTGTGTGTGTGTGTGTGTGTGTGTGTGTGTGTGTGTGTGCGTGTGTTTGTGTACTCTAAAGTTCACTGGAGCAGCCTGCAGGCTCTATGTGCTGTATGTGCAGTTAGAGTAAATCTATTGTTGTAGTGTAATAAGATGGTGGTGTATTGACACTATAGGCTGATGACATGTTCAGCTCTGCAGACTGACAGACTCTGTTATACACAGATTATTATTACTAGGATCACAGAGAAGCCTGCCTGCTTTATTATCACAGTTTGAATGAGTTAGTACTACAGTCTGCAAACTTGAGTAACCTTTTAAAGAAAAAGTTATTCTGCTTTTCTGTTTGACATCAGAGTTGCGTTTGCTTGATATAATTAAAAGTCAGTGTATGAATGGAAGCCATCACATTAGTTATTACAGTCATCAGAGTTAAGCAGCTGTTTTTATCAACTCTGGGGCCCCTGTGGACAGGACAGTTTTTGCTTAACCATGTTGTGTCTCCTGACAAAAAAGTCTCATCTTGCTGACTTTGAACAGTCAAAAGTATCTTTTCTGTCAACATTTAATGTGGAAAAGTATAAAAGAGCTGATTCTCCAGCAGCATCATGGACTCCTACCCTCTAGTTCTGAAAATTACTGTATAAAGATGGTCTGTCTTGTTGCTGGTGGTCTTGTTTTCTTTAATATATCATTAAAAGGCAACAAGATGAATTTCAGTTGATTGTTTGATAAAAAAGGAAACATCATCCTGTTTTATTTTTTTGTGAATATTTATCAGTTGATGTTTTTTCATTGTCTCACTGTACATGTTATTAACCTCCACAAGTGTGAACAATTTCCACTACTATTCCCACAGTATGCAGGAGTGCGTTAGAATCAGAGCTGCGAGCTGTGCTGCAGCAAAGGATCATGGTCCTGGACGGAGGGATGGGGACAATGATCCAGCAGCACAAACTGGAAGAGGAAGACTTCAGAGGAGACGAGTTTAAGGACCATCCTCTTCCTCTGAAGGGAAACAACGACCTGCTGAGCATCACACAGCCACACATCATCTATAACATACACAAGGTGAATGAAAATACACAAAAGATACACATGAATATACGACAACAACCCGCTGAGCACCGTAAGTTAGTAAGACACTTAGCCCCAAACTGCTCCCAGTGAGACAGTCATAATCAGTGCACAGTGTGTGACCTTTGACCTCCTGCGGTTTCAGGAGTACCTGCTGGCTGGCGCCGACATCATTGAGACCAACACCTTCAGCAGCACCTGCACAGCTCAGGCAGACTACGGGCTGGAACACCTGGTGAGACTCAGTCTGAAGCCGACTCTGAGACACCTGCAGAACACGCATACACACCTATACACACACCTATACACACACACACACACACACACACACACACACACACACACACACACACACACACACACACACACACACACACACACTGATCATCTTCTGTGGACAGCACACAAACAAAGATCAACAGTAGGCAGGTGTTTAATAACTGCTGTCAATCATCCTCCTTCATCTGACCCTCAGGTGTTTTCTCTTCACCTCCTTCTTCATTGATTTTATCTTCACCTGAAACATGACCCCCTCCTCTCCCACACTCAGTCTTTTGGTCTTTACGGATATAGTTATGTCAGTTCAGGAGTTAAAGGAGCAGTACGCACAATATCTACAGTATCTGATCCTAAAATCACCTTAATACATCATCTGAGCCTCAGGAAACCTGCTCATTTGAAGTACTACAGCTGCCAGCATCTCCTCCTCCAAAGATAACACCATTATTAACATGTTATCTGTTAAAATGAGCATCAGGTTGAAAGGATCTAAAAAGAAGCAAGTCTGGCAGTCACTCCACAGGTGAAGAGAGGAGAGCAGGGAGAGGACGGTGTAAGAATACTTATCTTGAGGTGAAATCTTGGATTCATTTTCGTGAGTATTATCAGCTTAAAAATTAGGTCAAAGTGAAGTGATGCAGGGTCCCTTTGAGAAGAGTACATATTGGCTGTCTAAATATTGCTGCATGCTTTAGTAAACAAAAAAAAAGAAGGCTAAACTGGTTTTCTACTTACTGAGCTTTTGTAACAGTTTCCAAGTTTTCAGAGGTTTTAAGGTTTTTTTAGACGCTGGCATGGACACATAGACTTAAGGACAACAAGGCACGTTACATAATAAGGGACAGGGGGGCACACAGGACATCACAGTACCAACAATAAGGACAAAGCACACAGGACAACACAGACGCAGATGAGGCATGTGTGACATTTATGAAGAAGTCAGGAGAATTATTCCCTACACTTACTGGTAATGCTTTATATTAGGCTGCATATATTAACACCCAATTAGCTTTTTATTAGCATGTTAATTAGTATCAAGTTGGCTCTTGATTAGTCATTATTAAGCGCTTACTGAGACCTTATTCTCCATGACCATGAACTAGTGTGAGCCATTAAGGGCTCATGAAGATAAGTGAACCACAGATTGTCATTTGTCAAAGTGTGTTCTTAAGTCTATGACATCTTTGTGTGTTTGTATGTATGTGTGTGTGTTTCAGGCGTATCGTCTGAACAGAGCGTCTGCCGAGCTGGCGAGGAGGGCAGCTGATGATGTCACCAAACAGACTGGTCTGATTTATTCTTACTAATCTGTCAGAGCAGAGTGACTTTGATGTTCAATGTTTTATTTGGGCCTGTCATGAGTGTCTTCATGTCTGTAACATTAACTGTAATCTGTATGTGTGTGTGTGTGTTAGCAGGTTGTAAACGATACGTGGCTGGAGCGGTGGGTCCGACCAATAAGACACTGTCTGTGTCCCCGTCTGTGGAGAGACCCGACTACAGGAACATCTGTAAGATGGGGAGGGGGTCTCTGCACAATAATGGAGTGTGTGAATAAATGATTAGAGGGGTGTAGAGGGACAAGACAGGGCCCTGGAACATGAATAAAAACACAACATGGTTCAGGAGACATCACAGTATATATGTTATCCTGCCAAAACGGACACACAGTCAGTTGACTTTAATGTGGTAGTAATGGACATGTGTATGTAGTCAGAAGAGATAGTTTTGAGTTAAAGTGGATCGTTTAAAAGGGAATAAACAATGTCCCCGCCTCTGTGTAGTGAATTTCCCATTATACCAGGCTTTACCCAGATGTGTTTTTGTGTTTGTTTAGCCTTTGATGAGCTGGTGGAGGCTTACTCAGAGCAGGTCAGAGGGCTGTTAGATGGAGGAGCAGACATCCTGTTGGTAGAAACCATCTTCGACACCGCCAACGCCAAGGTAGCTCTCACTTGATTGGTTTGAACCTGTTCACCTCAAGACAGGAAGAACAGGAATGCTAAAAACAGACACCAAGCTTGATTTATAGTCATACAGAGCATGCAATAGTAGTTTTGGTGCACTGATTGGTATTGGCCGATAAATTATAGTTTTAACTCTAGTTTGCGGTAAAATTGTGAATTCATGTTTAACATGTAAAAAAAAGGACAGATTGACTGAAAAAACTAAAATCTGTTCATGATGCAAACAGACTTAAAGTGCTAATAAGCAAATAGAGTGATTACCTACATTATATGTCAGCTTTGGTCTTTTATAAAGTGATTGCTCTCCACACTTGTATGCGTTTTCTCTACAGGCAGCTCTATTTGCCATTGAGCTGATGTTCGACAAGAGCCATGAAAGAAAACCCATATTTGTAAGTCACTCCTCGGTTCATCTCTCTCTTTCTTTAACTCCCTCTATCAGTCTTTCTAAACCCAGCTCAGTCTCAGTAGATGACTGTCTAACATGAGTCTGGTTCTGCTCGAGGTTTCTGTCTGTTAAAGCCATCACCCTGCTTTGATTCTCTGTAATAGTTGCAGCATTACCTTATGCTGCACAATATTTATCAGCTCTAGCTTAAATATATTACGCTCTGAGTTAGTTGCCATGGTTTCCTGTACACAAACAAGCTGAGAACATTGACTTGAAACTGTTGATATGATGAGCTTAGACATGGCACTGCTGACTAGCGTTTAGGAAGAGTGCTGCAGAATGACACGGACACTCCAACACAGGAGTGTGTAGTGCTCTTGAATGTGTAGGTTCAAGGCAGAAGCATAAACCAGTCTTCAAACATGGAGGAAGTGTTTTAAGTTGTCATTGTTTTCTTGCTTGTTTTTTCTCAGCTCAGATTTATTCATTTCTGTCCGACATTATGTCAGTATGTCAGGGACAACTGTTGACTGCAGTTTACAACATGAATATGATCTGTTTGATTAGAGTATTCAGAATAAGATGTTGTGTACCTGACAGACGCTCTTGTCCTTGACCTTGTTTCAGGTGTCAGGGACCATCGTGGATCGCAGTGGACGCACTCTATCGGGTCAGACAGGAGAGGCTTTTGTAGTGAGTGTGTCCCACGCCAAACCTTTGTGGTGAGATACTCTTCACTATCACGTAGAAATACTTTTACTTCTACTAACTAAATTACACACAACTACAGTGAAATCCACAAATACTCTTCATACTTTCAACACTGATTGGCTTTATGTTCACTCCAGAGAGACTAAGTTTGCCATATACTGTAAATCTATAAATTCAACATAAGTTCACTTGTACTAACTTCATGTTACTCTCTCTTTATCATTGTTTTAGTATCGGTCTGAACTGTGCTCTGGGGGCCACAGAGATGAGACCCTTCATTGAGGCTATTGGACAAAGCACCACAGCTTTCATTATCTGTTACCCCAACGCAGGTAAAACACATTAAGAATAATTATCAAGTTGAAATATTAGCAGAAAGAATAAAAATGTTTAAAAAAAGAAAAATACAGTTTTTAATGTTACATTCAAAAGTTGAATTGTTTATAAACTGATCCTGACTGAACATTACAGAGGTCTATGATAATCTTAGTTCTCTGACTTAAGTCAGGTTTCAACACCTCTTCAAAATAAAAGCATGATTTAATGCGTGTGTCTGTTCCATATTCAGACTCATAAATCAGAGTGAACATGAAACATGAAATCCTCCTGTCAGACATATACAGATTATTACAAACCGCTCACTTGAAGAATAATCTAATATGATTTATCAGACTACCTGGATGATGTCATGATGAGGTGTGTGTGTGTGTGTGTGTGTGTTTGTGTGTGTATCCTCAGGTCTTCCAAACACATTTGGAGGTTATGATGAAACTCCACAGGTCACAGCTGCACATTTAAAGGTCCTTTTCTACGCTTGTCACGTTTCATTTCATTTCATTATTTTACTTTTTTATTTCAGTTTTTTATTTTCTTGTTTTTACATCTTATATATATTTAATTTTTTCATTTATAACAGTGTTTCATTTTTAAATTTATTCTGTTGTATCGTAGTGATTTAGTTTTACCTAATTAAATTTTCTTTAAAAAGTATAATTTTGGACAAATTTAATGCAACATTGTACCTTATTATTTAATTTGAAACTTTTTAATCTTTACATTTTATATGTTATCTTACTTTCGAATATGTTAATTAATTTTGTAGTTCTTAATTTGCCTTTTTATTTTTGTTGTTTTTTTTTTCTTTATACTGTATTAATTTTATTCTCGTTTATTAATCTTCATCAAAAAATTATTTTATTTACTTAATTAGATTTATTCTGCCTGAGCAACTTTCTGAAAAGGCAAAATGATGAACAACCACCATCTTACACTCTACATACGAACACAAAACAAAATAAGAAATTAAAAACACACAGAGAGTCTTTTAATACTGTAATGGCAATAATCATTAAATGAGTTAACAGGAAAGGAAAAAAAGGAAAAGAACAAAAAAAAAAATCTGATGTCCCTGTTATAACGTTTACTGGAGTCAGGGCTTGGTTTGTTTAGCTCAACAGTTTAAGACTGGAAACAAACTGAGACTCCGAGCCTGCTCTGCCTGAAGAGCAAAAACAACCTCTGCACTTAGATCTACATTGACTTTGGTCCAAATGAAACTGATCTATCACCTCTCAGCTGCAGCTGGTCCTCATTTTGTGTATATTGTGCAGGAGTTCGCTGAGGACGGTCTTGTGAACATTGTTGGAGGATGTTGTGGGACGACTCCAGCACACATCAGGTTTCTGACATGTTTCTGTTGATCTCTTAACTTGAACTCAGCGTGAAGCCTTTCAGTAATAATTCCATTCAACTCTGTCCTCACACAGAGCCATATCAGAGGCAGTCAGACTCTGCAGACCCAGAGCTCCCGCTGCTGATATTTATCAGGACTACATGCTACTGTCAGGTCAGAGACGTGTGAAACACAGGGGAGGGCTGTATGGAAACTTTGTCTTAGATGTGTGGGTGAAGGGTGAAAGGTACCTCAGATAGAAGAGCTTTAGGGGGTGTTAGAAATAAATGTGAGACCTGGACTACTCTGCATGATGACTATAATAATAAGAAGCTTTTTCAGTGAATGCATGATGCCTCTGCTTTTGTTTGAATTCCATCATTAATTGACATTCATGGTCTAAAATAAACAGTAACACATATTTATCATCTGCAGGTCTGGAGCCGTTCAGGATCGGTCCTTACACAAACTTTGTAAACATCGGCGAGCGCTGTAACGTGGCTGGATCACGAAAGTTTGCCAAACTGATCATGGCAGGTAACTACGAGGTGAGACTTTAAGTGAAATGAATTTTATCTGTTTATGTAATATGTTAACCTCTGATTTTAAACACCTTTGTGCTCTGTGTGTGTACCTCCAGGAGGCTCTGAGCATAGCCAAGGCTCAGGTGGAGATGGGGGCTCAGGTTCTGGATATAAACATGGATGAGGGGATGTTGGAAGGACCAGCCGCCATGACCCGTTTCTGTAACTACATCGCCTCTGAGCCCGACATCGCACGGGTACGTGGGCTAAAGATGGGAGCATACACTTAATCAGAGAAAAGATTTGGTTCAAACCCCTTTATTCGTAATTAAAAGCTGACTACCAGAGGAACATGCATTGACTTTGACAGCCTAAGAACTGGTGACTGACTAACTAAACTGTATCATTAAAAATCTGTTATTAAAACAGCGAACCCCTGTCTTTCAGGTCCCTCTGTGCATCGACTCGTCCAACTTCTCTGTGATTGAGGCGGGTTTAAAGTGCTGTCAGGGGAAATGTGTCGTCAACAGCATCAGTCTGAAGGAAGGGGAGGACGAATTCCTGCAGCGAGCTGCCACTGTCAAACGCTACGGAGCTGCTGTTGTTGTCATGGCGTTCGACGAGGAGGGACAGGTAAGAGAAAAACATGCAGAAAGACACTTCATCAAATAACAGTCCAGTTGGGCTTTAATTGTTTGTTTTTGCAAGAGTACTTTCGTCAAACAATCATTTTTACATGTGATGTTCTCATGTGAAGGTGATCACCTGGTGGTCGTTTCTTATAAGCAGGTCACACCTACATTGTTGGTGAAACGGTGATGAAAGCCAAGAGCTGAACGCTGCTGTTTATCCCAATGATTGAAGTTTTTGGACTTCATTATGACACCTTCTTCCTTTTTAAATCGCCCATAACCATAACCCTCATTTTCCACCACATCCGAAACGGTGGCGAAAAGGCCGTCAGCGCCGATTACCACTGATCATTTCCATTCAAGTTTATGTGTCAATTTCCACCGGCTTCTTTCTGTTCAGTGAGGTTCACAGCTGATCGCCAGTGTTCTATTTTTTAAACACGCCACAGCATGCCGCATAAATTCAGCACAGGTTAGCCGATGCTTAAAAGGAAGTTGGGCACAGACACAAAATAAAACTACTGCTTATATGGTCATGTGGCTGTCATTATAGAGACAATTTGTTATCACGTGGTTGCATGTGGATCCACGGGTTTTGTGGTTAATGGAGGACAATACACTCAGTCTTGTTAGGCTTTTGATAAGATAGCAGACAGCTAGCTAGTTTTAACTTCCTACCAAGACTGTCGACAGACCTAATACTGACATGCACTTAAAAATCAGTCAATGACTACTGTGTGTCAAAGATGAATGTTGTCCTCTGTGAGCCTCAGACACCCTTTAATAAAAAGACCCACTCTCACAAAAAAGCACACTGATCCTTTTGATAAATCATCTGCAGGCCACAGACACGGAACGTAAGGTGGAGATCTGCACTCGAGCCTACAACCTGCTGGTCAGTAAAGTCGGGTTCGACCCCAATGACATCATCTTTGACCCCAACATCCTGACTATCGGCACGGGTATGGAGGAGCACAACGACTACGCCGTCAATTTCATCAAAGCCACCAAACTCATCAAGGTAACCCATCCAAAGAAAGACCGGTGAGGGTGTTATAGTTAAGATTTGATTTTTCTAATGCAGAAGAGAACAACAACAACATCAACATGTTATTGTCATGGTATACTGTTGAAGAAGTGACATCACAAATACCCTTAATTCATACTTTTACTGTTGTGTGTGTTTCTGTGTGTGTGTGTGTGTGTGTGTGTGTGTGTGTGTGTGTGTGTGGGTTTGTGTGTGTAGGAGACGTTACCCAGAGCCCGGGTCAGTGGAGGTCTGTCCAACCTGTCGTTCTCATTCAGAGGGATGGAGGAGATCAGAGAGGCCATGCACGGAGCCTTTCTCTACCATGCCATCAAGGTACACACACACACACACACACACACACACACACACACACACATTAAGTAAAGTAAGAAAAGTAAAGTTAGATGAAAATACACTCAGAACTGATCAGCAGTATCAGAGCGCTGTATCTGAATGAATCACTCTGTCTGCCTGGTGGTACATTACACATTAAACACACAATAAACTCTGTGGGGAACTGTCTATAAGTCTGTAACACACCTCCTCACTGTGTGTGTGTGTATGTGTAGGATGGTATGGACATGGGGATAGTGAACGCTGGGAATCTACCTGTGTATGATGACATCGATAAAGAGCTGCTGTTACTATGTGAGAACCTGATCCTCAACAGAGACACCGAGGCTACAGAGAAACTGCTCAACTACGCTCAGGTAACATGTTCAAACTCACACACACACACACACACACACACACACACACACACACACACACACACACTCAGTGCATCAGCCAGTATTTTTGGTGCTTCAGTTTCTGGATTTCTACTTGATTTCTGTCGTCTGCAGAACCGAGTGAAAGGAGAGAAGAAGGTGGTTCAGGCAGACGAGTGGAGAAGAGGCGACGTGGAGGAGAGGCTGGAGTACGCTCTCGTAAAGGTAAACAAAGAGATGGATCAGAGCTGCACCAGGAAACTCCACTCCTCTTGTATTTGGAAATGTTTTTGTTTTTTGATTAGTTTGCTGCCCATCCTGTGGTAAATAACCAACAATACGTGCTTTATGACATCTGTTCTTCTTCATCTTCTCCTCCTTGTATCAGGGTATAGAGAAGTTTGTGGTGGAGGATGTGGAGGAGTGTCGAGCTCAGGTGGAGCGTTACTCTCGTCCTCTCCACATCATCGAGGGGCCTCTGATGAACGGGATGAAGGTGGTGGGGGATCTGTTCGGAGCGGGGAAGATGTTCCTGCCTCAGGTGAGAGAAAAACTTTCTGCTCACCTTCTTACTGTATTTTTTTCGTGTTACCAAAAATTTTTCAAATGTTTTCAGCTTTCTTTGTGGAAATTCTAAAATACTTTAATATTTTAATATTTTGTTTATTTAAAAAAAACTTGTTTCCAGCTTTCTTTGTGCAAATTCTTGAATATCTATTTGTTTTTAGAATTTGTGTTTTCAAAATAAAACTTTTCGTTCACCTGAAATGTTCTTGTGTTTTTTAAAATTTTTGTCAAGTTAAGAAAATTTATTTACACTTAGTAAAATGTTTTTGTGTTTTTTTTTTATGACGTATTTAATTGCCTGTCTGAAATATTTGTGCCACTGACCTTCAGGGCCACCGTAGTAGATCTAGATCAGGATATTGCACTTTTTATCTTATGCTGCATGAATAAAAACCATTTTTAATTACAGTCAATATTTAATGCTGCAGAAATATCAGACGTTTTGATTATTTACTCTCTTTTCTCTGAAGCTCTCGTGAAGAACTTGATACCAAAACTCTTTAGACCACTTTTCCAAGTGTTCTCATCCAGATAGATGCTTTTTTCCAGTTCTGATGTGATCTCAAATATCATACGTGATGTCCAAGTAAATATGGTCCAAAGTACTAAAATGCAGTTGTGTGTGCGTGTGTTTGTGTGTGTGCAGGTGATCAAGTCAGCTCGTGTGATGAAGAAGGCGGTGGGATATCTGATTCCCTTCATGGAGAAAGAGAGAGAGGAGATGAAGGCTCTGTCAGGATCCACAGAGGATGTGGTCAGTCTGCGGGTCTAATAAATAGACTGTATATATGAATATGATCAGTATTACTCAGTTTTACTGGTGGAAACATGTAGGAGATGTCATAGTTCTCTATAGATGTCACGGCACCACATAGACTCAGCACATTTCCTCTGAACTCTAGAAGATATGATCTCATTTTTACATCCATCATCCTGAGAAAACATGTTGATTAATATGTTTTTGAAATAAAAGTTGATAGATGACAGAAAAAAAGCTTGTATCAGGTTAGTATTATATAAAGAAACTCTGGTGAATCATGAATTTCCTCCTCCTGACGTCAGTGTTGGATAAGCAGTCCGTGATTTACAGACATTTATGATTGAAACTACAGAAGAGCTGCACAACATCCACTTAGTTTCTGAGGGCAGCATTACACTCTTCAGCGTACAGCCTGCTGGAAATTGATGATAAGAAGTAGATATGTACATCTGGTGAACTTCAACAGAGTAAACAATTGTTTTTTTTCTGTAGGCTAAAATCAACTAGTGTCTTAACATTAAGAAACTAAAAACTGAAACTCAACAAATCTGACTTTTTCAGCTATCATTTAGCTGAACTTACACATGTGATCACCTGCTATGGGACGATATGTTACATCTAATAATGAAGTGTTGGACAGTCTTGTTGCGTACTTTTCTTTTTTGTCTGATGTTCTGCTTTTATTTCACAGTTATTCATTCAATCAATCAAAACATTCAATCTGGTCCACAGCTTCATAAGGCTCTTCAAGAGTCACTTCACCAAAGTGTCTCTTCATCTTCAGAGTAGATTTAAAAGATTAATTGTGGCTCTTCTTGACAGCAGTGCTTCACAATCAGAGTGGCGCTGAGCATCAAAGGTGGTTAGAAATCTTTATGTCTTAGAGCTTTAAGTGAAAGTGAGTGAGTTAAAGTCTTAACAAAGTGAAGAATAAAACTCATAAAATCCATCAAAAATGCCTTAATTTAGTCGCTCATTCTACCGACAGTTTCTGTGTTTGTTCAGGTGTGAAGCTGATGATGTGACAGTGAATTCAAAGAGATGGTCACAGTGTTTCCAGCTTCAAAGTTTATGAATTAGATAAATGTTGCTCCAAAGTTTCCCCCTCTACCCCTCAGGATCCGTATCAGGGCACCATCGTCCTGGCTACAGTGAAAGGAGACGTCCACGACATCGGGAAGAACATTGTAGGCGTGGTGCTCGGGTGCAACAACTTCAGGTCAGACCGGTTCACTGCTGCAGGTTCTTACAGGAGCATCAGATGGTTTATATGACACACTTTTACCTGTATTTCCATCAAACAGCAGTCAGAGCAGAGTTGCATGTACAATCTGATGTCAGACTCTCTGTATGAACGCTACAGCATGTTATCATCCTCTTTGTGTTTGTAAGCTCAACTTTAAGCCCTCTGAACGCTTCACCTCACATCGCCTTTTCATCCCTGCGGTGATGCATCATGGGAGAAAAGGGGCAGGGTTCATTTGTTGCCGGGCCATGTGTCCAGGCTGAGACATGGTGCTTTTATTTTGAAGGATATTTGACCAAAACACTAATAGTGTCAGCAGTGGGATGTGCTGAAGTCCATATTTATGTCAACTTTTCATGATCAGAGTCAAAGAATCAGTTTTGATTCTTTTATTTCTTCACAGTAAATATAGAAAAAGAAAAAAGGTACAAAGTAAAAACAAAGTAAAACAGCGGCACTACTGTCAGGAAATGTAAATAAAAGATTAGATAATCAATGTAAATGAGAGAATATTCTGTAAATATGGATAACAGGTGTATCTAAATAAATGGAAAAACAAGAAATGTCAATATTTTACATGAAACAATAATTGAACTTGAGTTTTTCTCAACTCATTTTATGTAAACTTAAATCTTTAAGGTGTTTTTCTGAAGTAATTTAGATAGTTGTTGTCAACTGCTCCAAATTTTAAAATACAAACTCGAAAATTAGAATATTTTATATCAATTTCAAGGTAAACAACATTTAAACATTACAGTTATGAAGTCAAGAACTCAGGGGAGCTTCACAAGGAGTGGACTGAGCATCACAAGCACAGAATCAGAGTCCAAGTCCAGCCTGAAGTTTCCACAGTCTGTGATGGTTTGGGGTGCCGTGTCATCTGCTGCTGTTGGTCTACTGTCTTTTATCAAGTCCAGAGTCAGTGTCTGAGATTTAGATTTAAAAAACAAAGAGAAAATTCAAAAGCAGTAGCTTTTCTCTGTAGGGGGAGAACCTTTTTTTTAAATTAAAACACCTGATATCTGTTAAAGTCATATGAACATTGTTTTCTGATGTTTCAGGGTGATCGATCTGGGTGTGATGGTTCCTTGTGATCAGATCCTCAGAGAGGCCATCAGGCACAAAGCAGGTACTGTCATCACTTTGATTTAAAGGTACAGTGCACAGAAATGTGGATATTTAGCAGGGTCCAGCTGCCAGATTCCAGATCAAAATGCTCCCCCTGTTCACCCCGGTGAAGCAACAGTGGCCTTTCCCCTGTTTGACCATGTTAACACACACACCCTCACTGTTTAGTCATCTATTCTGCATCATCTTCATCGTTTATAAATATCTGTCTTTGCAGATATCATTGGTCTGTCCGGTCTGATCACTCCATCTCTGGATGAGATGATCCATGTAGCCAAAGAGATGCAGAGACTGAACATGAACACCCCTCTGCTGATAGGAGGCGCCACCACCTCCAAGTAAGATACACACTCACACATACACACGGGTGGTGTAAGTTCAGCACTGCTCTGTGTTTAAAGAGTCCTGAAATAACCTCTGATCATATAAAGAATGATGAGTCAAACTGTGTTAAGATATGCAGCAAGTGTCAGCTCACCTGTGGTCTCACCTCTTTATCACTGTGGAGTCAGAGCAGCTGTCAGAGCTGAACTCTGTGAGGTCAAAGCAGGAGAGAGCTGACAGTAAACTGAAAGTTTCATGGAATAAAAAGATGGTAGTTTATTAATATTTGTATAATAGTGACAAAACAGCAACCCTGATCCATAACCAATCTATAAACTGCATTTAGATGCTTGATCACACCTGGAAATGCTAACAGCCGTTACTTGCAGTGTAGCTGCAGCACGACTTCTACTACACCATCTGTCTTGTCGCCTTTTCCTCAGTCTCATAGTCGCGTCTCTCAGCACCACCTTTATCACGCCTCTTGTACCTTGAGATTTTCTTCGTTTATACTCGTGACTTTGGAAGGACAGAGCGCTCTTTGCTCTGGGTGAGGGTGCTCTGTGACGGAACATATTTCAGAGAGCAAAAAGAAAAATCAACCCTGCTGTACTTTCTGCTGGGAGATTGTGAAGCGTCTGAAATGTGATTCTGCTTGTTGTAAAATACAGCACTGTACTCAAGACAAAATGATCAGTATTTTAGGCCAGCAGGTCCTGACACCTTAATCTGCCCGATCCAACTACAGTCATGTTTAGAAACTCCACCCAGCCTACTTTGTCCCCAAAACGGAAATGCTGATAAGTGTTCATAAGATAATAATTTTTTAAAGCAGCAACATTGAAGAATGGCTAATGAAAACAAAGCTGTGAAACAAAGATAGAAGATGTTCTTTTCTTCCTTCGAAGCTGCAGTGACCTTCCAGAGAATTAGTGAACATGATCACACATGCAAGGAGATGCCAGATTTGAATATTTGGCTTTTAAGTCTTTTAAAATTAGCTGAATTTTATACTAAATGAAATCTTGACATTGTAACTCCCTGGATGTTTTCTTATTCTGTCTTCTCTGTGAAAACTCAAGCTTTACTGTAGAAAGAATCATCCTTTAACAGCTCTGTGTGTGTGTGTTTTGTGCTGTTAGGACACACACAGCGGTGAAGATCGCTCCTCGGTACTCATCTCCCGTGATTCATGTTCTGGACGCCTCCAGGAGTGTGGTGGTGGTGAGAAAAAACACCTGAGATATCTACCTGAGACTGATGTGTAGTCAAGATTAATCTCCAGTGATTAGAAACATATTCAACATCAGATTATATCAATACAAGAATAATGACATCAAGGTGTCCTCACAAGCAGTCTGACGGACCCCATTTCTATAGAAAGAAAACCACCTAACAGGGGGTAATGAGACAATGAGACAATGACAATTTTGTAGAGATATAAGCGGCGTGTGTCTGTGTCCCTCTCTCTGTCAGTGCTCTCAGCTGCTGGATGAGGTGGTGAAGGAGGAATACTTTGAGGAGCTGAAGGAGGAGTACGAGGAGATCAGACAGGAGCACTATGACTCCTTGAAGGTGAGGAGAGGTCACACCTGAGGGCGCACCAGTCCACGGAGAAAGGTCAGAGCTGTGTCGTCACACGGCAGCTGAATGTGGAGGAGAAGGATTTAAAAGTTTTTAATTGCTGAAACTGACAGAATGATTTATTTTACTACTTTGTAAAAAAAAAAAAAAAAGGACAGCCAGAGGTCACAGAGCGAGAGGGGGAGAGAGTGTCCCTCTGAAAAAGCTTTAAAACCACCTAGAAAAATTTGAATACATATGTCAGTCCACAGCAGAACAAATCCTTGAGTGTAACTGAAGCAGACACTCATGGTTTTGGAAAGTTAAACGAGTTTTGTGATAGTGTTCATGTGTTCTCTCACCATTCCTCTCCTACTCTAACAATCTGGTGCACACAGTGCTGGCCATAGAGGTGGTGGGCTTTACTGACCTATACTGCTGCTAGTCAGCAGGGGGAGCTCTGAATGTTTTAGTTTCACTTTTCAGAGAGTGTCATGTCCTCAATATATTTGTACAGACCCTGATGTGAACACATTCAGATAACTTCTGATTAAACTGAACTCAGCTCTCACTCCCCTTCCCCTCCGTGTGTGTGTGCCTGCGTTCATGTGTTTGCATTTGTGTGTGTTTGTGTTCCGTAGGACCGTAGGTTTCTGTCTCTGTCTCAGGCCAGAGAAAAATGTTTACACATCGATTGGACATCTGAGAGCAGACCAGGTCAGTGTTGTTGGATATAGTATGGAACACATTTCTATATAACAGACCGTAGATGTATTGTGTAATACTTAATCTGTGTGTGTGTGTGTTTGCTTATGTGTGTGTCAGTGCGTCCTCAGTTCCTGGGTCCCCGTGTGTTTGAGGACTATGATCTGAACCGTCTGCTGGACTTTATCGACTGGAAGCCGTTTTTTGACGTGTGGCAGCTCAGGGGGAAATACCCCAACAGAGGATACCCAAAGATCTTCAACGACAAGGCTGTCGGTACGACCTCTCACTCTGTACATGATACTGAAGACATTCACTGCTGTCTTACTCCAGCTTTACCTTACATTACTGTGTTGTAAATTAGTGTGAATAATCGTTAAGTTACAATTTCAATGAAAAACGGGGGAATGAAGACAGGAAGAGTGTCCACGTTATCAACGTCCGGTGGTCTACTAAATATAATATTTGTGTTTAATTGCCTTCTTGTGCTGATATCAGTATATTTTCACCCCGCCTGTACTGTATCTGATGCAGGCTTTGGCTCACAGAGCTGCCCTGGTCACAGCAGCTGTTGTAAAACTGATACTGGTTCAGATTCCAGTTCAACTCACTAGTTCAGGTTCTTATCTTCTGATTCTGATTTTTTAACATAAAATACTGCATATTACATTCCTGAATGCTGGTGACTCAACAGAGGCAAAGAGGTGTAAGTACGTCACTAGCTGCACTGTTACCATACAGGGACCCTCCTCCACTTCCTCCTTCTTCATCTCGCCCTTCGTAGATAGGGTGTGAGCATGATTTCTTTACCTCTGTGTAAATGCAAATGTGAGATGAGAATTGATTTGAGCGTGACATTAGTCCAGCTATAGTCAAGGTGTTTTAGTGAATAAGAGACTGCAGCACATTGAATCAGTGAAAACATTAAATTTACTTAAATTCATACCACACTGAAATAAAGGTTTTGTCATTTTAGACATGCCTCTTCCCTCTTTTCAGCCAAACTTTTGGTCCCTGGCTGGTCTGCGATGATCCTTTTCTCACAACTTTGTTTATGGACTGAGACACAATGTTCATCAGAAAAGGTGTAAAGAAGAACCAACTGCAAACACCAGGCTAATGTTTGTTCTTGAAATATTTGGAGGTTTTTCTCCCCAAAAATAACAAAATCAAGAATCAATAAGAACCAGAATTAGAACTAGAGTCAATGAAAGTGAAATGCTCTGCAGCACTCACCTTCTTCTTCATGTTTGATGTCTCAGTTTGGGGTCTGACTCTGAGGTCTTAGCAGACCTATATGTGATGTTTGGTGTCTGCTAAGCTGTTGAGTGGTTGTTTCCGTTAAATCCAGCTCACTAACCTCTCCCTATCTTAGGTCAGGAGGCGCGGCAGGTCTTCGATGACGCCCAGCGTCTGCTCCATCAGATGATTGACAGCGGCAGTCTGAGGGGGCGTGGCTTGGTGGGCTTCTGGTGTGCACAGAGTGATGGTGATGACATTCATGTGTACAGAGATGATGTCACAGTGAACAGAGATACTAAGCCTATCGCCACCTTTCACGGGCTACGGCAACAGGTGAGGGTTAAACACGGGTGTTACACAGGCAGAGGTAACAGTGAATTTGATATGATATAAACAGGTGAATTCTGGGTAAATTCATGAATAGAGAATTGACCTTTAGAGTTCTAACCCGTTTTAGCGCTGCTTTAAAGTGAGACACAGCAACATGAGGCTCTATGGGGATTGACTCACTTTAAGAGACTGTCTCTAGTGGACACTAGAGGAACTGCAGCTCTGTTTCTGACTCATTATTTCCAGGTCTTACTTTGGTCTCTTGTATTACTATGTGATGAATCAGTGTTACTCTGTTTTTCAGGTGGAGAAGGCTGATGGCTCCGGCCCCTACCTGTGCATCTCAGACTTTGTGGCCCCTGCAGACAGCAGGGTGGAGGACTACGTGGGTCTGTTTGCTGTGGGGGTGTTTGGAGCTGAGGAGCTGAGTCAGCAGTTTCAGGATCAGGGCGATGACTACAACAGCATCATGGTCAAAGCCCTGGCTGACCGGCTAGCTGAGGTACTTTGAGGACTGGTCAGACCTGTACAGAAAGGCATAGACCGTTCTGGATCGCTGCCTGGCATGCTTTAATTTCTCTTCCTGTCCTGCAGGCGTTTGCAGAGGAGCTGCACTGTCGAGTCCGTCGGGATCTGTGGGGGTACAGCACCGAGGAGGAGCTGCAGACCTCAGACCTGCACAGACTCCGCTATCAGGGCATCAGACCAGCAGCCGGATACCCAAGTCAGCCAGACCACACAGAGAAGACGACCATGTGGAGCCTGGCCCAGATCCAGGAGAGGACAGGTGAGAGGCTCACTGAGATGTCTCTGCTGGAACGGTTGAATGATCTGTAGAATAAGACGCAGACTCTCAGTCTCAGCGGGTCGGTTTGGTCTTTTCTGTTCAACAGGTTGTTGTTCAGCTGCTCATTTGTTTGGTTTTTCTCTGATTTGTTTGTGAAAAAGAAAAAATGACCTTAAACATCCACAAATATTCTGTCTGAAAGATTTTACTTTTATTTTGATGGTGTTTGTTATAAATGGCAGTTTCATGTGTAATGACCGTGTGTTTGTGTGTTAGGTATCAGTCTGACTGAGTCCTTGGCCATGTCTCCTGCTGCGTCAGTCTCTGGACTTTACTTCTCTCATCCTCAGTCTTCTTATTTTGCTGTGGGAAAGATCTCCAAGGAGCAGGTAAGCTCATCCTCATCTCTCTTCTAATACATGTAAAACCTATACCATTATTCAGCAGTTTTTAAGTACATAATGAAATTGGGGAAGTGATTCTTCTCATATGTGTCTTGGTTTGTGATATGTACTGTATGATCTTAACTTTTGCACACACTGTGATCTGTTTGATGACTAATCTCAATGTCTTTGTTTGGGTCATTTAAAAAGTCTTACAAAGTCCTAAATTTTCATTTCATTTTATTTATTATTTCTTAAATTTCGATCTTTGTTTCTTTGTTTTTAGATTTTAACATAAACCTCCAGTGTTTCCTTATCTTGAGTTTTAAAATGACGTTTCCTCAGTGCGCACACTCCTGTTTCCATGAAATCAAGCCCTTTTTAAGTTTCTGCATTTTAATACTGTTTCTGTTGCATTTAGATCGTGGGGTCGGAATGAGGGGTTGGGCAGGGGTTGATTTGGGTCTTCTTTTAATCTTGGGTTGGGGTAAATTTGGGTATTCTTTGTTTCTTTTATTCCTTTTTCTGTGTGAAGCACTTTGTGCTACTTGTTATGCTATGCTATATAAATAAAGACTGATAGATCATTACCTGTGCAGCAGCCCTGGAATAATACCCGTGAACAGTGATGGTATCCAGATCAGGATTTGTGTCAGATCAGGACCTGGCTCTGACTCATTGTGCTATCTCTGCTCATACTCAGGTGGAGGATTACTCCAGGAGAAAACATCTGAGGGTGGAGGAAGTGGAGAGGTGGCTGGCTCCTATTCTCGGCTACGACGCTGAGGAGTGACACCTCTACAGGAACAAAGCGGATCAAAGCTGGGTCCAACTGGACCAGAACCAGGTCTACAGTCAGACCATCAGAGAGCAGCCAGCAGTGACCACAGTTTGTTTATGAGCAAAATCAGGCCTTCATTTACTGCAATACACTTAGAGTCATGGTGTCTTAAATTATAAGTGCTCTTTAAAAACATTCCTGTGTCTTTCAGGGTCCTTGTTGTCTTTTACCTCTGGCTGCTTTCTGCTATATTTCTCAGCTTTGTAGAATGAATTTAGTAGAGGCTGCTGTCATTTTTCCACTGGTGTTTTTAGTTTCTTAAATTTATAGTGATACTCAGTTATACTGGTGGTGATGAGAGGTTGTTTTTACTCCTCCCTTCGTCACAGGTCCTTTGCAAACAGCCTCTTTACCATTTGTTTTTGACACTTCAAAATGCTTCCATACAGCTGACATGTGGAAGCTCGTGGTTGATGCACATAAGCAGCATCAGTGCATCACTTTATCAGCTGTGCATACATATGTGCAGGAATTTTCATATCTGCTGTTACCGTTAATATTAATAACCTCCTTTGCCATGTCACTGATGTCTTGATCAGTGAAAATCAAACCGATTCCAGTGTGTTTGTAAGATCAGGAGTTTTATTTTGTTTTATTTCAGTTTTTATTATTTTATTTAAATGTTTGAACATCAGGTCATTGACACTGAGTGAGGTATAAACACATTTCATATTAATGTTGATTACTTGAAATTTACTTTTCAATGATGTTTGTTGTGAAAATAATTTGGTCACATGGTGCAGAAAGGGTAAAATGTAGAGTTGTTTACAAAAAAAAAACTTAATGATTATTTAACCAAATAATCAATTAAACCCTCCAACAGCTTCATACTGCCATCTTACATTATGTTTAGGTCAGTTCAACAGATTTATCATCAGGTTACCACAGACCTGCCACACTGTGTAAATATAGATACTCATCATAGAATACAAGGCATGTAATGCAGAAAATAATCCCAGAGAAATGGTGTTAGATTAAAGATGAACACACACTGAAGAGATCTATTTTTACTGCTGATTACAGTTTCAAAGTACCAAAAGGTCCTTTTTAATGCCTAACTAAAGTGTCTTAAGAAAACCCGGAAGTATTATTTTATATCAAGTTTTATGAAACAGAGTGCCTGTTCATCTGTTTTTCAGGGGTATTCAACGGTCAAAGCTGGAGTAATACCACCTAAACACAACCAGAGCTTTATTTTTAAAGAGCTTTTAATCAAAACGAGTTGTTTTGAAGAGCTGTCAACCAGACAGAAAACAATCAGTTTCATATCTGCCTTCAGTATAAACACAAACTAATAATGACACTAATTATAATAATAATTGTTAGTATAATCTCTACCTTAAGTACAATCACAAACTGAATGTAACTGGATGGTTTCTGTAAATATCAGTGAGTTTAAACTGATTGTTAGCCGTTAGTGATACAAAGGTTCACATTTAAAGCTCCTGTGAGGAACTTTCTGTCTGCATTGACTGGTGCGCCCCTGTGGACAAAGTTGTACCCCTTATTTTGTTGCTGATTTTGTCTCCTTCTTGCAAAGATGGTGTTGATTCGCATCAAATCTACTGTTGTCTTTTTCCATTGAAGGCTGTTTTCCATTTGAAGGAGATACTTCTGTAATTCATAAAGTCTTATTTCTATGATTGTTAACATTGTTAACCCGATTAACCTGTCATCAGTGATCCAGAGTAAATCTGACCGCAGGTCTGTGTCGTGTACTGATATACATTTCACGCAGGAGTGTCTTAACGCCCTGAAGTGCTGCAGCTCAGCTCAAATCAGCTGAGTCAGAACTTTGTGTTATTTTCTTAAACTGTAAAGTGTGTGTGAACCATGTTGGCACTGGAACATTGTAAAAATAAATGATACAAAGTGCTGTTGAAAAAAAATAAATCATTTTTATCATGTATCTGTTATCTAAGAGATTTGTCCGATCTTGTCGAAAAAAGAGCGGAGCACAGCAGCAAGCTGCCGCTGTCGCCTCTCCAACACAAATAACAGAATATCTTATATTATCTTATGTTAACACCCTGTGGCGCGGCCCGTTTAGTGCCGCGGTAATGGCAGAGCTGCCAGGCATCACGCTTTGAGTGTGACAGTCATGCAATTTGACCCATTCTCACACCATGCGCCACACTTGACATTTCTCACGCTTATTTTTCCCCATTCAATACTCTATCTTTTTCATGATAATAAACTTGGCTTGCCCTAGTTCAAGTAACTGTGATTGACTGACCGAGATAACCAATATACTACGCAATAGAAACCAATCAGAAGCATTGTAAGGCAGGTCTTAGCGTCTCTATCTTTCACACGCAACAGCGCAGACATTTAAAACCCTCCCCACATAATACAATATTGACAAAAAATGTATGTCAAAATTCTTGTTACAATTTTAATTTCTAATTTCTAGTTAATGAAGACTAGCATTATGGAGAGCAGCTGGCATGGAGGTGAGGACATAAGATATAAATCAACATTAAAAATGCCAAAGAAAATTGCGCCGCCGACCTATGGTAATCCTTAACGGCCAGGGTCCCAGAGGCACTCCCATTGGCTAAATTAACTGGCGCGCAAGAAAGGCTGGGTTCCGATTGGCTATTCTTTATAGCCAATCAGAGGCGAAGGAGGCGGGACCTTCCCCTACTAGCCTACGAAAAAAGTATCGCGGGTACCGGATAGGTCTTGCTAGCTCTGACTGAGCTAAAGGAGCTAATGTACTGAATTTAGGTTACAGTTCGTCACGAGTTGTGAAAGTAGTTGGTCTTTAACTATGGTGTGACTCAGCACTTAACCATTTGAGCACAAACCACAAATGAAACCCCTTGGACATCGGCTGAACGACCTAATCATATCTCAAGAGGAAAACAGAGGACAAGAATATTCAACCGGGAGTGGGTGAGAGGGAAAACCTAGCCAACTGCTAACACCGAGGAGATCGGATTTTAAAGGAACTCCTCAAGACTTTTGTACCCATGATGATACTCATTATTCAAGAAATGAACACTGGTGAGTTAAATTTGTTTTTCCTTGTGCTCTGGAGTTACTCAGCCTTGAACTGAGCTCTTGCTTTGACACAGTCAGAAAACAGTTTTAGTAAAGTTTTTTCTTGTTAATGTAGTTAGCATACTGTGAACAATTCAGTCTTGAAATCTACTGCTCTAAAATGCCCTCCTTGTGTATTGACTGCCATGAGTTTGCTGTGTACTGTTCACAGCATCCTGTTTGTATTGTGCTCATATTGGTGTGGCTTGAATCTCTCGGGTCTCTGGCAGTAATGTCCAGCTTGTCAGTGCATGGTCTCATACATAATGACATACTTTTCTGTAGAAATTTAAGTTTAATTTGTTGGGCTTCTCTTTATTTAGCATATTTAGAGGTTTTTTTTGCACATGGACAAAACATGACTTCCATTCACATTCAAACACAGTGTGCTGTAGATAGGGCTGGGCGATAAAACAATAGCGATATATATCAGAAAATTAAACTCCATCAATACCAATTAGTGTTTCCCCTAGAATATTTTTCAGCAGTGTGTGTGTGTGTGTGTGTGTGTGTGTGTGTGTGTGTGTGTGTGTGTGTGTTACGCTGTAACATTCACATTATGTTATCCGCGCTACCCGTATAAGCTTAAACATTACCCTTCACATTAGTGGAAGAGGGTCCGACAGGATTTGATGTGCTCGTTGATTACTCAAAACAAGTCGAAAATAATGGCATGTGTTGTTATGCTCACACAGTGCAGGTAGAAATCATTAGTGCAGCATTGATAATAATGCTACTAATCTTATTAATGCTACTCACTATATAGACCGTGTATAAGCTTGAACGTTATCTTTCACATTGATAGAAGAGGGTCCGACAGGATTTGATGTGCTCCTTGATGACTCACAATAAGTCGGACATATCGTTGTGTGTTGTTGTGCTCACACAGTGCGAGTAGAATCAGTAGTGGCGCATTGATATTAATGATCATGTGAAATTTCAAAAGTCAACGTAAACGCACATTCGTCTCGTCACATTTTAGTCATCTAAGACTTATGTTTAGCTCGTCAACGTCACGTCTTCGTCGTGGAAAAAAAGGGGCGTTGACGAAAACAACACTGCACCCGGCGGAGCATGCGCAATGTGAAAGGTTACAAACCCTGAGCGGAGCAAGGAGCCCATGGCGCCTGTGCAGCTGAAACAGCCAACCATTCAGTCCACTTTCTCTAGCGCAACGCCTTACAACTAAATGTCAAAAAGACAGTAAGACCTCACAGATGCAGTAGCTTATTGTATTGCAAAAGACATGCTACCAATAAGCACTGTTAAATTTCATTTTTTATATTGTGATATTTTGATATCGACTGATATGTAAAAGATATATCATGATAAACTTATTCCCGCATCACCCAGCCCTAGCTGTAGGTTAGAGTTTGGAGGTCCTAATTAATGTACACTTTTAAGAAAAATAGAATGAACATATAGAATTGGTTTATTTTTATATGTATATTTCCATCAAGTCTCCACATAAAAATTCCACCCTTTCTCATTGTATTAAAGGTGGATAGGTGTAGGCATTTATTGCTTTCTATCCTGTCGAAGGTGAACTGAGTTTCGAACACACACACACACACACACACACACACACACACACACACACACACACACACACACACACACACACACACACCTGTGCAGCTCCTCCCTCGGTGTACGCGCGCCATCCAATGGGAGAGCAGGTCCACTGCGCGTCTGTTTGTGCTGCTCAGACACACATCTTTACACACTCACTCACAGTCACACACACATACACACACACACACACACACCGCCCGCTCTCTGCACACAGACGCCGCGCGAGCCTCCGAGAGACCGCCGACATGTCTGACGGAGGAGAAGGAGAGGACGAGATCCAGTTTCTGCGGACTGTAAGTCATCCTCCGTCCGCTCTGCGTGCGGGGGCTGCGGGGCACTGCGGCGAACTGCTACGCTCCCTGTCCCTGTCCGTGTCCGCGTATGCGAGTGTGTGTGAGTGTGTGTGGGCAGGCGGGGAGTTTACCGCATTAAGGCTGACAGCTCCTCCTCACTGTCCGCATCCTGCAGAGGATGGAGGAGCAGACAGGAGGAGGTGCAGGGAGGTGCTGTCAGGGTGTCAGAGAGGAGTTCAGCCGCATGCCACTGTGTGTGATCGTTCGCTGCTCGCGCGTTTGTGTGTGTACGTGCGTGTGTGTGCTCTGCTGCGTGTGTGTGTTTTATAGCGGGCGCAGTGCGGTGCTTGGTGTCTGCGTGAAGATTCTGCATCTGCTGCACTTCGGCTCTGAGACGATGGTGTGTGTGTGTGTGTGTGTGTGTGTGTGTGTGTGTGTGTGTGTGTGTGTGTGTGTGTGTGTGTGATGATGATGATGATGAAGTGAGAGCAGCCTGTTTGAGCATCAGAGGAGGAGCTGTGGTGGAAAAAAGTCACGCGTGGATAATCTCCCAGTGAAATGAGTGCGCTATGTCTCTGTAAGGGAGACCTACTGATGTCTATGAAACATCTTCATTAATGAGTGTGTGATGTTAATGTGTATGTATGTGTGTGTGTCTGAGGTCTGATCCTTTGTTGTATTTCTCTGACAGTGTGTATGTGTGTGTTTGTGTGTGTGTGACAGCAGCAGGTTGGTGCAGAGCTTTGCAGAGATGTTGGAGTCATCAACATGTTGAACATGTCGGAGTGTGTGTGTGTGTATCTCAGCTCAGACTGCACTTTAAGGCTGCCTGGATCAATATTTGTATATGTATTAATGACATATGACAATGACAACGTCTTATCTGTGGAAGTCCCCACACTGACACACAGTGATTTGTTGTCCTGTCAGCCTTTTAGCCTCCTTCAGCCGCTTGTTTTGATCTGGAGTTTATGGCCTTCTAAATCATCTTTCACTGCTGTCACTTTATACGCTGATGTCTTATTTTCAGCACATTTATAATGCTGCATAGTTTTTGGTTTCCATCGGATCAGTATTAATCATTTCCACTTTCTTAGTGAGCCATACTGCAACATAGCATCAACCTTTGAATGATTCAGACTGAGTCCAGAAATCTGAGTTTTCCTGAACAGGCATACAAACCATGATATTTGTAAATAAATACCAAGATTAAATCAGTTTGAGTCTTGTGGTAATTTGAAGGGGAAGCAGGATAGAATTGTATGGTGTGAGCAAAGTCTGTGTAAAACCCAAGCAGCAACCCCCCAGTCTCCAGATATGAAGACAATGTGTAGTGCTAGAAGCTGCAGTTCTTTAAGTGTCCACTTGAGGCTGTATTCACAAGCCATCAGATGTAGCCCGACTTTATAGTAAATTAAACATGTTTACAGTTAAATAAATCATTTCTATTAATGCACACACAGTATAGGGATGATTTTTCTTATACCTCATCAGTTTTAAAGATAACAAGGTTAAGAGTTTTGCATAAAGGGGCTTGGCATATTTGGCTGACAGGCCAAGGGCTCACCTCAATACCACCTCTTTGACCTGGTTGACCCAAAGTCAGATTGAGCCAACACATTCAATATGGCCTGATATGACTGAGACTATATCACTGTTTTATAGAGCCTGCTTTGATAAAACTTGCTTGTCATCTCAGTAACATCATCCATTGGTTTTGGAGTGGTTTTATAGTTAGCAGTAGAGTAAGACGGAGTTTCACATTAACGACACAGAGAGAAGCCCTAATCTAGTGGTGCTAACTGGTACTGCAGCTATATTACATTTGAAAGACATACAGGCTGTATAACAAACAATGCAGAACATGTGTGTGTTAATCGCACATTAAAAATGTATTTGGCATTATATCCCTTGGAATATCCCTTTTAACAGTAAAAATGAGGAACTATCTGTCAAGTTTACAATTTAGAATATTACAAACTCCAAAACAAAAATT